TATATATATAGTGGGTACGGAAAGTATTCAGACCCCTTAAATTTTTCACGATGCAACAAGTTTTTCACATCTGGATTTGGGGATCCTCTGCCATTCTTCCTTGCAGATCCTCTCCAGTTCTGTCAGGTTGGATGTAAACGTTGGTGGACAGCCATTTTTAGGTCTCTCCAGAGTTGCTCAATTTGGTTTAAGTCAGGGCTCTGGCTGGGCCATTCAAGAACAGTCACAGAGTTGTTGTGAAGCCACTCCTTCGTTATTTTAGCTGTGTGCTTAGGGTCATTGTCTTGTTGGAAGGTAAACCTTTGGCCCAGTCTGAGGTCCTGAGCACTCTGGAGAAGGTTTTCGTCCAGGATATCCCTGTACTTGGCCGCATTCATCTTTCCCTTGATTGCAACCAGTCGTCCTGTCCCTGCAGCTGAAAAACACCCCCACAGCATGATGCTGCCACCACCATGCTTCATTGTTGGGACTGTATTGGACAGGTGATGAGCAGTGCCTGGTTTTCTCCACACATACCGCTTAGAATTAAGGCCAAAAAGTTCTATCTTGGCCTCATCCGACCAGATAATCTTATTTCTCACCATCTTGGAGTCCTTCAGGTGTTTTTTCATGTGTCTTGCACTGAGGAGAGGCTTCCGTCGGGCCACTCTGCCATAAAGCCCCGACTGGTGGAGGGCTGCAGTGATGGTTGACTTTCTACAACTTTCTCCCATCTCCCGACTGCATCTCTGGCGCTCAGCCACAGTGATCTTTGGGTTCTTCTTTACCTCTGTCACCAAGGCTCTTCTCCCCTGATAGCTCAGTTTGGCCGGACGGCCAGCTCTAGGAAGGGTTCTGGTCATCCCAAACGTCTTCCATTTAAGGCATGGAGGCCACTGTGCTCTTGGGAACCTTAAGTGCAGTAGAATTTTTTTTTGTAACCTTGGCCAGATCTGTGCCTTGCCACAATTCTGTCTCTGAGCTCTTCAGGCAGTTCTTTTGACCTCATGATTCTCATTTGCTCTGACATGCACTGTGAGCTGTAAGGTCTTATATAGACAGGTGTGTGGCTTTCCTAATCAAGTCCAATCAGTATAATCAAACACAGCTGGACTCAAATGAAGGTGTAGAACCATCTCAAGGATGATCAGAAGAAATGGACAGCACCTGAGTTAAATATATGAGTGTCACAGCAAAGGGTCTAAATACTTAGGACCATGTGATATTTCAGTTTTTCTTTTTTAATAAATCTGCAAAAATGTCAACAATTCTGTGTTTTTCTGTCAATATGGGGTGCTGTGTGTACATTAATGAGGGAAAAAAATTTAACTTAAATGATTTTAGCAAATGGCTAAAGTGAAAAATTTAAGGGGGTCTGAATACTTTCCGTACCCACTGTATATATATATATATACACACACACACACACACACACACACACACACACTTGCATTTGTGGTTTACGGGGACTCTCCATAGGCGTAATGGTTTTTATACAGTACAAACTGTATTTTCTATCGCCCTACACTTAAACCTACCCCTTACAGAAAACTACTGCCAATTTTTTAATTTCATAAAACACCGTTTTGCATGTTTTTTTAAGCCTTTTATTTTACGGGGACACAGGAAGTGACAAACACAATTGAGTGAGGTTTACACGCAGGCCAGTTGTTGGCCAGTTGATTAAAGTAATTTAAATCTAATTTTGTTCAATAATTATTACTTAAGGATGTATACATACATACATAGATACATAAACACACATACATATATATATATATATATATATATATATATATATATATATATATATATATATATATGTATGTTTAGATATTTTACTGGAAAAACGATACAGTATACTTCAGAAATTAATTTTTATATATATTATTCTAAAAAAAGTTTTGAAGTGGCAAATGTCTTTTTTTTTACACTTAAAATATTAATGAAGATGAATATATCCTCTAGGATGCGAAACGGTTGGAATCAGGAATCCAGTTTCAGAATGAAGCAGAGATCGCTGGTTACCTTCTGGAGTGTGAGAATTTACTGAGGCAGCAAGTGCTGGATATTCAGCTTTTACTGGATGGGAAATTCTACTTGGCTGATCAGCTCGTTCAGAGGTCAGACAGTCTTTGACTGAACTTCATTATTAAAGAGATAAAATCACTGAGGCATTCATAGAAATAGTTCACCTTCACTGTTTCTGAACGCTAAAGTCTCCTTGATTTCTTTGGTCCTCAGGGTCTCTAACCTCCGTGACGATCTGCTGGCTTTGAGAACAGAGTGTTCAACCGTCTACAGCAAAGGACGCACGCTGACCTCAGAACAGACCAAGATGATGATCTCTGGCATCACGCAGAGTTTGAACTCAAACTTTTCCCCAAACTTCAGTGCCGGACTGTCTCCTGCGCTCACTCACGGAGGCTTGGTCACATCAGACGGCAGCCCTGCGATGAGCCCAGCCATGACGCCCAGCATGCAGCCTGCCTCGGTCCAGACTTACCTCAGCGGCAGAGGAGGAGGAACCATGGAGCCCAGGGTCCTACAGCAGCTCAAACAAATGCAGATCCGCAAGCCCATGCTCAAATCCTCATTCCTGGATCCCAACTTGACCGAGGATGAGGTTAATGTGAAGTTTGTGCAGGATCTGCTCAACTGGGTTGAGGAAATGCAGGTATGTTTAAGACTTCAGATTCTTTTAATCTTTTAATCTTCTAGTGCACTTCTTAATTAGTATATTTGCTCATTTGTCGTCTGTATTTATGAACAAACAATCTCGTTTTCTACATGATTTGAATTATTAAAAATGCCAAGTGCGATGGTTTGAGCGATGATGCAGGTTTATTTATCTATTTTTCAGTTTTGGTTATCTGATGCTTTTTTCCCCGGAACTTTTTGTCTCTGTAAGGTTCAGCTTGATCAAGCAGAATGGGGATCTGATCTGCCAAGTGTTGAATCAAATTTAGGGATTCATAAAGATTTTCACAAAGCCATTGAAGAATTCCAGATGAGCATTAAAGAAGCCAAAATGAGTGAGGTAATACACATCATTGCATATTTTTAAATAAATACAAAATATCACTATAAACCCAGAATATGTTTAGAGTGCTAAATACAGTTAACTTTATTTTAACAGCTAAATTTAAGTTGTTATTTGCTGAAAATCTGTGAACAATCAAAACTCAAAATTGGGTTTGGGTAATCTGTTCCTTTAAATGACATGTATTCCAACAAATGATTGTCTTAAAAATATAAGCACAAACGTGTCTGACTGACCCGTGTCCCTCCCACAGATTCAGATGACCCAGCCACTGAAGCAGAGTTACTCTGAGAAGCTGAATAAGTTAGAAAGCCAGTACAGGAGGCTGCTGGTAAAGGAGCTTTGTAAAGATCTGCTTTTAAACCTCACATTCAGTACGAACTGTGCGTGAACTCAGTTTGGTGTTCTCTGGTGTTTTCAGAAATGCTCCAGTGAGAGGCAGAAACACTTGGACAGCCTGTATGATTTTGTGTCCCGCGCCACTCAGGAGCTGATCTGGCTCAATGAGAAGGAGGAAGAGGAAGTGGCTTTCGACTGGAGTGAGCGAAACAGTAACATTTCAAGGAAGAGGGATTATCATACAGTAAGTCCTTTCAACCACATCAAACCAATGTTGTGCTCAGTCTAAAAGAGCTAGTGATTTATTAATGTTTGTCTTATATTGTTTTTTTTTCTTATTTGGAACATTGCAGATAACCCAATGATTTTAATATGTGGTGATTATTTATTTAAGGCATTATTTTAAACATTTTTATTATTTCTTATGCATCTATTGTTGTTTATTTGAATTTTGAATTTTGAAAGCACTTTGAATTACCTTTGTGTATTTATTCAATGAACTTGCCTTGCCTTGCCATTATGTACATGGCCAAAACTGTGAGAAATATTGAGATGTATTTTTTTTTTATCACTCAGCTCTAGTTGGCCATTAGCTGTGATAAATAAAAAGCGTTTTGCTTTAAGGCTTCATTCTAGCAATATGAATATCCACCCATACGGTAATTATAGAGAATCCACAAGAGCCACAAGAAATTAACTTAAACTGTGCCTGCGGTTAACACATCCTCTTCTGTTGGAGCAGTAATGGCACCGTCAACATCCGTCATGATCAAGATTTTGTGTTCATCGCATTGCCTTCACTTGCCTTTGCATGTTGAGGTTCAGGTTTTTGAAAGAAAGCTAGATATCTGTGCCGGGAGCGTCCTCATATGCCCACGTCTTTCCACAGGATCTCATGAGAGAACTGGATGACAAGGAGGAGGTGATCAAGTCAGTACAGGAGAAGGCAGAGAGCCTCCTACTGGAGAACCATCCTGCCAGATTGACCATTGAGGTACAGCCTGGCATAACAGCACTACACTTGACTCTAAACTTGAAAACACCATCATTTTCATGAATAAAACAAAAGGTCATGAAACTAGAATTTAAGAAATAGTGCAGACAAACATTCTATCATTGTTTTTATACATTCACTTTGGTCCAACCTTTTTTTTTCTTAAGTAAAACACAAATGCAGAAGTTTAGCGGAATGTTCAAGCTGTTCATTTCCTCATTTCCACACAATGAAAATGTATCATAAAGGTATTAGGAAAGTAGGTAGGGTTGGGCAAACATCTTTTTTTTTTACCAATAATCTTCCCTAATTCTCATCCATTTAAGCTTGTCATCATCATATTAAACTACACAGCAAGTCAAGTCACCTTTATTTATATATAGCACTTTTAACAATACAAATAGTTTCAAAGCAACTGTACAGCATTAATTCGGAAAACAGTTAAAGGCAGTTCATCATTGAATTCAGTGATGTCATCATCCAGATCAGTTCAGTTTAAATAGTATCTGTGCAATCAAGTCGACGATATCGCTGGAAATGAAGTGTCCCCAACTAAGCAAGCCAGAGGCGACAGCGGCAAGGAACCAAAACTCCATCGGTGACAGAATGGAGAAAAAGCCTTGGGAGAAACCAGGCTCAGTCGGGGGGTCAGTTCTCCTCTGGCCAGACGAAACCAGCAGTTCAATTCCAGGCTGCAGCAAAGTCAGATTGTGCAGAGGACTCAACTGGTTCCTGTGGTCACTAACTTCTAATTTTTTGTTCCATGGAAGAAAGGAAGATAAAATAGTAAAATAAAATAAAAGTTAGCTGTTTAATCTAACTGTATGTTTCCATCTGTGCACTACGCAGGCATACAGAGCAGCCATGCAGACTCAGTGGAGCTGGATACTGCAGCTCTGTCACTGTGTGGAGCAACATCTGAAAGAGAACGCTGTCTACTTTGACGTGAGTTACGCAGCTGTTTTTAGCAGAACTGATTCTTATGACTCATGTCAGACTTACAGGTATGCTGTTACTCTCCTTACAGTTTTTCAGCGACGCCAAAGAGTCATTGGATTACCTTAGGAGCCTCCAAGATGCCATCCACAGAAAGTACAGCTGCGACCGAAACAGCAGTTTACATCGGCTGGAGGATCTCATTCAAGAGTCCATGGTTAGTTTGCTACAAGGGGTGTGACGAGACACTTATCCCATGAGACGAGACGAGACACGAGACTGGGTTCACGAGAACGAGACGAGACGAGATTTTTAGACTTTTTTTAAGAAATCCTCAATGATGAAATATATAGGGAAAAATTGTTTTTTATTCAACTGAAAAACATAAAATGCAAAAAAGTAGGTGCATTTTGAAATCAACTTGTACTTTATGAAATTAAACATCTATTTGAATAAATTTTATGCAGTAATAAACAACATGTAAACACTGCAAAATGTTTTGCCACAAACTCAACTGACAGGCAAGTAATTGCACAAAAATTATAAATAGTATAAATAAAAATAAATAATAAACAACATAAATATCCCTTTAAAGTGGAAGTGAAGCAGTCAGTCAAGTTATCAGTTTAGTAAACTGATTTCCACTTTAATAAAAAAATATATAATAAACACGATTAATGTATCAATTTAAAAGAATAAAGCAGTGGTTGCCAAACTGGGGGGCTGAGGGATAGTTAGGGCCCTGTTTCCGTTTTATTTTTTTCCTAATTCCGTTTTTTCCATTTAAATTTTTCTCGACTCCTTTTTAATAGTTAAATTACATTTTATTAATTAAAAAGCATGTCTAATTAATTAAAATCATTAAACTTATACATTTCCACATCAATTTATTAAAAGTTTAACAAAAATTACATGTTTAGGGCCCTATGAAATGTTTTATTGTTTTAGCATTTGTCTTAATTATTTGAATGCATAAAACATTTTTTTCTTAAAGTAGCCTTATGATTTTTTTTTCCTCAGAAATTCTGTGTTGTGTATTTACATTTTTCTGGTTATCAAATGAAGGCATAAAATATTAATTTAATTGATCATTTCTTTTAATTATTGAAAATTAAGCAAACAAGATTTTTTGGCAAACAAAGGGGATTTACTATTAAAATGAAAACATGGAAGAAATGTTTTGTGATTATTCCTTAAAAAATAATGTTTGTTTCATTTTAGTAGTACTATGTACATTCTACTGAAAAATAGTCATAGGCACAATGTCTTCAAATCAAACCGGACTTTTATTTTGTCGGGTTGCCGTGAATACCTTTACAGTTCTGTGTATGTGATATGACGCTGGTTTTACTCAAAATCAAATGCTAAAATGCTCATGAAGTGACTCAGAGCAGTTCTGGAGATGTTGTTCATGTGTTTACGTCCTCATTTAGTGAGACGGCAGACACGCGCTTCAGTGTGTGTGTAGTAAATGAAACCACGCATCTGCGGCATTCATTAACAGAGACAGGCAGAACATGCAGGATTCATATTTTTTTGCGGCTTAATATGTACAGATACTAGTCCATATCGTGATTTGATTTAAGTGTAATGACCTACTTTTGAATAATTCATTCAAAATTTGACAAATTCCATGACATTCAACTGTGAATTCTGTTTTTATGACTGGATAAAGACTACACTGCGTAATTTTCCTGCTTATCATGTGGCCACTTGCCTGATGTAACATAAAATATCTTACATACCACCACTTGTGAACGAGCCAGTGTAATGCAAATATATCTGAAAGGTCTTTGTGAGGATATCGTCACGTTCTCGCGAGACCAGTCAGATTTCGTGCCACGAGATCTCGTCATACCCCTATTTGCTACCACACCATAAATTCATGCAATCATTCGGGTTTGGAGCGTAAGGGACTTAAAGGTTCCTTTAAGGTTAATTTTTGAGTTCACTCAAAAATTAAATTTCTGTCATTAATTACTCACCCTCATGTCGTTCCAAACACGTAATACCTTCGTTCATCTTCGGAACACAAATTAAGATATTTTTTATGGAATCTGAGAGCTCTCTGACCCTCCCATAGACAGCAAGGATATTACCACGATCAATGTCCAGAAACGTAGCAAGGACATCAGTAAAATAGTCCATGTGACATCAGGGGTTTGACTGTAATTTTACGAAGCTACAAGAATACTTTTTCTGCGCAAAGAAAACAAAACATAATTTATTCAGCAATTCTTCTCCCCGAGTTTTGGAGAGTACCCCAGCATGCGCACGCTTTCCACTGAACGTAAACAGTGCTGATTACGTTCAGGGGTACTCTCCAAAATGGCAGAAGACTGTAACTTAATTTGTGTTTCGAAGATGAACGAAGGTCTTACAGGTTTGGAACGACACGAGGGTGAGTAATTAATGACAGAATTAAAATTTTTTGGTGAACTATCCCTTTAAAGACTAAAAGAATGAAGTAATCAAAATACGAACAAGTTCTATTTCTTAAGATTCTCATGCATTAATGTTTTAAGGTGTAGATGTATATGCATGCCTGAGGCTGGACTGGTGTTTCTTCACAGGATGAGAAAGAACAGCTCCTGAAATACAGCAGCACAGTGGGTGGGTTAGTGGGACGGGCAAAGTCCGTTGTTCAGCTTAAGGCCCGCAACCCAGAGAACCCCATCAGGACCTCCTTACCCGTCAAATCCATCTGTGACTACCGCCAGATAGAGGTCCGTTCAGCACACTGGAACAGCTGCCTGCGTATTTACAGCAGTGTTTGCCATAATGCATTCTGTGACCCCTCTCTCCTCAGATCACCATTAGCAAAGAAGATGAGTGCGTTCTAGTGAGCAATTCTCACAGGGCAAAGTGGAAAGTGATCAGTCTATCTGGAAATGAGGCCATGGTACCTTCAGTCTGCTTTAGTGTACCTCCACCCAACAAGGAGGCCACTGAAATGGCAAGCAGGTGAAGACAAAAAAAATAGGGCTAGGGTTTGCTTCTATGCATTGGTTGTTGGTTGGATGTTGAGATGTCTTGCAAAAATGGAGGCAGATGAAGAGCAAGATGAGCCTGCAGGGTTTAAATTGTATAGTAACATGCTTGATTTTCCTTCTCTCACTCCACCAGGATCGAGCAGCTGTATCAGAATGCTCTGGCTCTGTGGCATCACTCTCACATTAACATGAAGAGTGTTGTGTCCTGGCACTATCTGATGACTGACATCCGCACCATCCGCAAAAGCACTGTTGCCTCGGTACAAATCTTGTTTTTGCATTCCCTGAGACAAAAGTTGTTTTAAAACCTAGCGAGTTCATACAGTAGTATAATGTTAATTTCCCTCCCTAGATCAAGACGCTATTGCCAGGTGATCACGAGCAGGTGCTGAGCAGCCTGCAGTCCCACTTTGAGGACTTCCTGATGGACAGTGATGAATCGGAGGTTTTCACTGTGGCTGATTGTGCCCAGCTGGAAAAGGAGGTTCTGGCTTGTAAGGAGTACTACGAGGAACTCCTCAAATCTGCAGAGAGAGGCAAGTTACTGTACACATGAAGTTATGTAATCAAATTACTTTTTTGAGTAACTAGTAAAGTAAGGCATTATATATTTTTAAGTCTACTTTTTCAAATAAGTAACACAAGTTACCTTGTTTTCCCATTTATTCACTTACGCCTCTCCTGTCTCCTGTTGAGAGAAATCGGGAGTGAAGTGCAGAGGCACTTTCCCTTTTGGTGTGAATGGGCCTTTACAGTTGCCAAAAATACTTTTGTGTGTTTTGTTATTGAAAAACAAATGTAAGCCCAGCCCAGGTAACAAAAAGTAATGCAAAAAGTTATCATAATGCATTACAGTCTATAAAAAGTTACCAAGTAATGCAATTAGTTACATTTTCTTGGATCAACACAATATAGTAATGCATTACTTAGTAACCAGACATACAGCACACATGCTCAAGAAACACGTGTTCTCCTAAGCCTGTTAAGTAGAAAGTTAATATTATAAGGATTGATGTTTTATCCATTCACAGATCTCCTCATCAACATTAGAGAAGCAAGTGTTTGTGGATATGCATTTAAATTTAATCTAGAAGTTTGACAATTGATCATTTGTAATGCACCTAATTCTATTTTTTAATTACTATGTACACTTTAAATATATATTTGTTTTTGTTCCTCAAACAAATGTTGGTCTCGTTGTGAGATTTCATGAGTTCACTATCTGCCGCCTGTAATCTAATAATAGAGTCCTGAAATATTGTCGGCCAGATTAATTGTCAAAAACCCTCATTACAAATATATGCACGTTAAGGCTTATTTGTGTTGCCACTAGCTACATTTTCATTATGTTGTCACCAAGAAACTGGCAAACAAATGCACAGACTGCAGATTATTGTTTGGACATGGAGTCTCATTGATGTACTCATCTTGAATGCATTGCCCTCTGGTGGTCAACAGAAGAACATGAGGAGTCCGTGTACAATCTCTTCATATCTGAGGTGCGTAACTTCCGCATGCGGGTGGAGGGTCACGAGGAACAGCTGATCCGGAAAATCCGCACTCCGCTAGACAGAGATGACCTGCAGGAGTGTGTGCTGCGCATCACCGAACAGGAGGTTTGATCTTAATTTATGTCCCCCCCCCAAAAAAAAATCAGTCCAAGTGCACACATCCAGTAGGCAAAAAGCTCAGTGTGGGTGCTCCACCACACAAAAATTTGAACCCAAAAAAATCTAAGTAGGCACACCCCAGCTCAAGAGATGTGTTCTCATGAGCTCATGTTCTCACCACAGGTGACGTTTCGAGCTTAGACGCTCTTTATCAGACTGATGAACATAAATACATATTTTTCCATCTCTGGAGCTGTGGTGTGCCTACTTAGATTTTTTTTGGTTTGAATAAAAATAAGAATAAATGAAAGAATGAATGAATAAATAAAATATATAATACAATATAATAAATTAATATAATATAATACAGTTTAGTAGAGGTCGAGCTATGTATCGGTTTTGCCATTTAATCGGCACCGATAGTTGATTGCTGGAACTATCGGTTATTGTCAAAAATCCATGCCGATAGTTTTCGATTAATGAAAGCTGTGTAAGTATTGTTCCTTGTTAGAGTGTGTTAATTTCAACATTTACTATTATTATTATTATTTTTACTACTACTACTAGTATGGTTCAGTACTGGTTTTGTTAATAAAGCACTATTTTAGTTTTTGTTCAGTATCAATTTTAACACAATCGGTTATTTAATCAGTATCGGCCAGTGTGGTCCAACCTAGCTATCGGTATCGGCAAAATCCACTATCAGTCGTCCTCTACAGTTTAGTACAAAAAACTATTTTTGGTACCAAGTTGGATCACCACTTCATTTTTAATGTAAAATCTGGATCCCGAAGCAAAATGAGTTACGCCTGGCCTCTCTTCTCATACTCATCCAGAAGAAGAAGGTAGAGCTGGATAGGTTGAAGGATGACCTGGAGACCCTGAGAGAGAAGTGTGAAGTTTTCCTCAGGCAAGCAGCTGCCTCTCCATCCGTCCCTACGCTTTCCTCTGAGCTCAACATCCTCACTCAGAACACGAACCAGGTCTACTCCATGTGCTGCATCTACCTGGAGAAGTAAGTCTTTACTTTGTCCTCAAATGATGTGTGTTTGAAAGTGTTAAGAAGAGTTTATTGAATAATTAGCTGGAGACGTGACCTAGTGTTTAGTAAGTGTTCTGAGGCGCTCATGCAAGTATTGTGAGTTTGTGGCACTTCCTAGTCATTCCAACATTATCCAAACTTCAGATTGCTATTACCAGGCTAATGTAAATGTATCTTTAAATTTAAACTTTGTCTTCATTTCTTGTTATGGTCAGCACTAAAATATTTCATCAACTAGAAATCGCTGCTATATGATTTCTTGTTTGATGTGATCATCTTTTTCACACAGGCTAAAGACAGTGAGTTTGGTGGTGAAACACAGTCAGAGCGCCGAAGCTCTGGTAAAGCTTTATGAAGCTAAGTTGTGCGAGGAGGATACAATCAATGCTAATATCAAATCTATCGATGGTGTCATGAGCACTCTTAAGGTAATAAAATCTCATTGTAACTAACTCGATGATGGCTTAGCCATTAAATATCGTTGACTTAACACTTTTGTTCGTAATTTTTAGCAATGGAGGTCTGAAATCGATGAAAGGCGTGAGGTATTCCATGACTTGGAGGACGAGCTGCAGAAGGCACGAGTGGTCAGTGAGCGAATGTTCAAAACGCACAACGAGAGAGACTTTGATTTGGATTGGCACAAGGAGAAGGCCGACCAGCTCAAAGAACGATGGCAAAACATCCACTCTCAGATTGAAAACAGGTCATTAAGTGGATGCTTTTGCCCCAAGATAATGCTGTGCTGCAACGCTAAGTACATTTCTCATTTATTTACCTTCATAATGTGTGATATATTGATTTTTCATGGTGTTTAGACTCCGGGACCTGGAAGGCATCAGCAAATCACTTAAGTACTACAAAGACACGTACAACAGCCTGGATGAATGGAGCAAAGAAATGGAAACCAAGCAGCTCAAGGCCCAAGAGAATCAACCTGAGGATAGCAAGGCATTGGCTGAGTTCCTTAACCAGCAAAAAGTACGAAAAAATTTAAATTGTACTTATTTTTAAGTACAGAAGTTATTTGCATCAAATCCTAACATTGGATTTATTTCTAGGTTTTGGTCGCAGAAATTGAGCAAAAACAAAGCAAAATTGAGGAATGCCAGAAGTATTCAGAGCAGTATGCAGTTGGAGTGAAAGTAAGACAAAATGATCACTTTGAAATATTCTGTGGTATGTGAACATTGCAATCATGCAGTAACATAGTTTTCCATAGTACCATTAAGTACTTTTGTGGAAGTGTGGCTCATTAGTGATACTTCATCCCCAAAGCAAACAATAAAATAGACACTAAAATAGTAAAATGGCAATTAAGTATATGGTAAAAGAAAGTTATTTAACTTCATTCTTTAAGGACTATGAACTGCAACTGATGACTTATAGAGCCATGGTTGACTCTCAGCATAAGTCTCCAGTAAAGAGAAGGAAGATGCAGAGTTCCTCTGATGTCATCCAGCAAGAGGTACGAGAGGAAACAATCAAGGAAATAGAACCATTCTCATATGGTTCATTTGTTCATAAACTGGCTATTTTCTTACATTGGCATTCTTTTGAGTACGTATGAGTATTTTTTTTGTTTGTTTGCCGCCTCAGTTTATGGATCTTCGTACACGTTACACGGCCCTGGTTACTCTGATGACACAGTATGTGAAGTTCGCAGGTGAAACACTGAAGAGGGCGGAAGAGGATGAGGTAGGACATTTGTTGACTTTTTCCTGTCTTTAATGCTTCATCCAGTAGAGATGATTAGCGTTAGTATAGTGCTATTGCTAGCTTTATTGCATGCTATTTGGCAAGACTATGCTTCCAGACATATTTCATTCACCAATGACACATTAGAACAATGGCATACACCCTAACAATGTACACAAACATATATTGGTGTTTCCTGCAATACAAAATGTTCCTCAGTGCTTGGACATTTATTTTGATACAAAATAGGCTGTATTTTGTATCATTGCTGGTGACCTTGTCTCTTGGGAAAGCATATCCTGGAAACGCTGAAGACTACATGCAAATATGGTGGTGGTTTTTAAACCTTCCGTTGGTAAGTGGGCAAAGACTGCCTCTTCTCTTCCAGGTGGTTGACTGGAAGATGACTGTGTCTTTAATTTCAGAGGAGGAAGTCGTTGGAAAATGCAGAGTACTTGAGCTGGACTGAGAGCATGGAGCTGCAGAAATCTGCGAGCGAAGAGGAGATCAGCAGGCTTCGGCGCCAGGTACTGGAACTCGAGGCTTCGCTGTCCAACAGGCAACAGCAGATGGACATCCTGGGGGCAGACCTTGAGATGCAGAAAAAGTCCATTGAGGATTTGACCTTACAGAAGTCAAAGGCTGAGTATGAGGCCCAGAAATATCATGTTGAACTAGAAGGTGTGATCAAAAGCAAGGGTTCCATGGAGCAAGAGTTGAATCGTGCTCGACAACAGGTTCAGCAGTCAGAGGCCAAACAGGCCTCCCTAGAAGAGAGCCTCCGCAGTCTTAAAAAGAGCATAGAGGAGAGCACATTAGCCCGTAAGAAGCTGGAAGATCATTTACGTCGCAAGGACAGTGACGTCCAGGGCCTGGAGGAGCACAGTCGCACGTTAGAGCGAGAACTTAGGGCTAAGGAAGACGCCGAGGCAGAGCTTCTAAGCCAAGTGAGAATCATGGAAATGGATCTGGCCCACCAGTCAGAAGTCAGGATGATGCAAGGTGAATCCGTGTTGGGTTTCTCCAAAGATGGTAAACAACTGGCAACTTTTAAAACCAGTTCTTCAATAATCCACTCTGAATCTGAGGCAGAAGTCCTGCAACGCAAAATGGAGGAGCTCATTATGGGCAAGAAGCGAGCTGAGACTGAAATCAAGTCCTTGAAGTCTGAATTGAACTCAATTATTGTGCACAAAACTGTGGCTGAGGAGAAAGCTCAGCGTTTCAAAGAACTCTTAGATGAAGCAAACAACAGGCTTTTGAAGCTACAAGTGGAAATGGATGCAGATAGGTCCAACATGAGACAGAAATCAGAGGAGTTGAGACAAGAAACTTCTGAACTAAAAAAGTCTGTCTATGTGTATCAAGAACAAATCAAGTCTCTCCAAAGAGACAAATCTGCTCTGGAGCAAAGAGTGCTGTTCCAGAAGACAGAGGTCGATGGCCTAAAAGACCAGCTCAAAGTCAACCAAGGAAAACTTCTACAGTGGACCTCTTTGGAACAGGAGAGCACTCATAAGTTAAGGTGCTTGGAAGACGAGTTGTCTTCCAAACAATCTGGGGTAGAGCAGATGACATTCAGGGTGAATGAACTTAATAGAAAAAATCAGTTATTGGAAAGTGATACCCGGCATCTTAAGGTAAGTATTGAGTCAATCCAGCAGGACAAATCACATGCTGACCAAAAGATTAAAACCCTGAAAGGTGAGGCAGAGGTTTTGAAGGAGCAACTGCAGAGAGCCAAAGAAGAAGTCAATCTGAAGACAAGAACAGAGAAGGAAGCTCAACTCAAAATCAAAAACCTTGAACTAGAGCTTCAGAAATGTTCCTTGCAAGTGACACAGCTTACCAGGAAAGTAGAAGAACTCAAGAAGATTAACATGGAGACTGAACGGTCCATTAAAAATGTCAAAGCAGAGCTTGACAGAGCATCCATCGAGATTGACAGTAAGGAACAGCAAATTAATATACTCAGATCCCAGGCAGAAAGTGCAAAATCTCAGGTAAAAATTGTTGAAGAGGAACTTCTGAATAAAACACAGGTATCTCATGAGCTTCAAATCAGACTTAAAGATTACAACGAAGAAGCCAAAAAGACCACCGAGTTACAGCAGAAGATCAAGTCTCTCACGTTGACCATCACCAACTATGAAAAAGATATTTCGATTCTCAAAGCAGAGCTGAGTTCTAGAACCTCTGAGAGGAATCTGGCTGATCAGAAGGTTCAGGAACATAAAGTCGAGATCAATAACCTGAACATGGCTTTAAAAAAAGCCATAGGAGAATCTCAAAGGGAGTCATCTGAAGGTAAAAAGAGCTTGTCAAAAGTTCGAGAACTTGAAAATGAGCTTTTGAAATGTAAGCAGACGATTAGTAGGATCAGTGGAAGTTCAGAGAAGGCCACGGTAAGCCTGAAACAGGACATTTCATCTCTTCAGAGGGATAAGCAAACCGATGACCAGAAGTTACAGGTTTTAAAATGTGAATTTGATGATCTTAGTTCCACTCTAAAAAGAACAAAAGATGAGCTACAGCGAGTGACTGAAGAAAACAGGTTAAGTCAGTCCAAACTCAAAGAGCTGGAGGCAGAACTCCAAAGGAAAAGTTCTGTTATGCGAGAATTGAGCTCAAGCGCAGATAAATCTGTGCTGAATTTAAAACAAGAGCTAGTCACTTTTCAGAAGGATAGGAATGCTGCAGAAGACAGAATCACAAGTTTAACTCTGCAAACACAAGAGCTGAAGCAGAAGTTGAGACAGACCCAGGAAGAGCTTAAACAGAAGCAAAATCAAACAGCAGCTGCTGAGCTGATGTCGCAAAAGCTTGGTGAACAGTTGGACAACTGTAAAAAGATGCTTGACAATCTCAAAGGTAAGCTCGACTTGCAAAAGAAAGGCTACGAGACTCAACTGCAGCTAGTGCAGGCTGAAATGGAGCAAAAGCTTTCGCTGCAAGAATCACGCTTAAAGTTGGAGCATGAGAGGAAATTAAAGGAAACTGCTGAGAGAGACAACAAGCACCTGTCTCAAGATGTGGAGAAGCTGAAAACATTAATTGCTAATGCAACAAAAGCAAAACAAGAGGTTGAAGAGCAATTGTACAACGTACGCACACAGTTGGATGAATCTGACAGGCAGAGGGGGATACTTGACCTTGAACTTCTCAAAGCAAAATCAAAGATTTCTGAGTTAGAAACTGAGAAAATCAGAGTAAAATCCAATATTTTTAAACTCGACAGTATTCACAAAGACAGCTCCAACGAGATATCAAAGTTAAAGCAAATGTTAACAGAGACTGAGCAAAAATTAGACATCTCAGGAAGGGAAGCAAGATCTCTAAAGGAACAGATTCTTTCATACATCAGTGAAATTAAGTCTCTACAGGAGAGGAATCTGAAGCTTGAGGTAGCAGTCAGTTCTGAGAAGAAGCATCTAAAAGAATTGGAGGCACTCGGACAAGCCAGTCATCAGTGTGCTAAAGATGAAGAGCTGGCAAAGCTAAAGACTGAACTTCAGCTGACTCAGAAAATCGTTGCGTCGTACGAAGAAGCGAAACGGAACCTGGAGGAGGAGCTCAAGAAAATGAAAATGAGCTCTGAGGTACGACTTCAAGTGCATTCACAGTTTTGTAAAACTTTCATTAAAGGTGAAGTGTGTCGGCCAGTGATGTGTTTTAACAATGTGCAGAGAGAGCTATAAGTAAGGGTGCTCTCACACTTGGTTCCATTGCCTGGTCCGAACCAGAGTTCAGTTACTCCCCCTGTATTCTATTCGCAACTGTATTTTGTGGGTCAGAATCATGTGGGTCTGGTAATCATGTTCATCAAAGCGGCAACTCTTTTTTGTCGTTCGGTAACAGCAACGCTGGACAAAGCAGAAAAGTAGATAGGGTTGCTTGCCTCACTTTTGTACGTTGGTCTGTCTAGCATTAATGGTCTGCAAAAGTTCTGAGAAGAAGCATCTAAAAGAATTGGAGGCACTCGGACAAGCCAGTCATCAGTGTGCTAAAGATGAAGAGCTGGCAAAGCTAAAGACTGAACTTCAGCTGACTCAGAAAATCGTTGCGTCGTACGAAGAAGCGAAACGGAACCTGGAGGAGGAGCTCAAGAAAATGAAAATGAGCTCTGAGGTACGACTTCAAGTGCATTCACAGTTTTGTAAAACTTTCATTAAAGGTGAAGTGTGTCGTTTCTTGATGTGTTTTAACAATGTGCAGAGAGAGCTATAAGTAAGGGTGCTCTCACACTTGGTTCCATTGCCTGGTCCGAACCAGAGTTCAGTTACTCCCCCTGTATTCTATTCGCAACTGTATTTTGTGGGTCAGAATCATGTGGGTCTGGTAATCATGTTCATCAAAGCGGCAACTCTTTTTTGTCGTTCGGTAACAGCAACGCTGGACAAAGCAGAAAAGTAGATAGGGTTGCTTGCCTCACTTTTGTACGTTGGTCTGTCTAGCATTAATGGTCTGCAAAAGTTCTAGAGAAGTCCGTTTCTGCTGGAGGCGAGCAATTTGACCAATCATACTGTAGCTCATCAATAGCAGTTCATTTCTGAGACTGAGGACAACTGCGTTCATATCAGCAGCAAACTGCACTGGATTCCACACTAACCATACCACAGTTCAGTCTATTTTTTTATAGTGGATTCGGCCATACTTTCACAGGTGCAAAAAAACAGTGTTCACTTCATCCAAATGAAGCACATTCTGACAAGCCAACCCAAGTGTCATTTGATAGTTGACTGTTCTTTTGCAGAATTTCATCATCACGTTGCAAATTTATTACTGCCATGATCACTATAAATCTTAATTAGAATTATGTTTACCACCTGCTTACCCCAGATAGTAATAGCGCCATGTTAATTGCAGCAAGCATATATTTCTCACTTGTGTGAATAAAAGCATTAGAAGATGGGGGAGATGGGCAGAATGAAACTATTAATAATTATTTGTTGCAGTTCTGTTGATGCAGAAATGACACACTTCACCTTATTTCTTACATAAATATATAAATGTATAAAAGTAATGTATTAGGTATACCTATGATGAAAATTACAGGCCTCTCTCATCTTTTTAAGTGGGAGAACTTGCACAATTGGTGGCTGACTAAATACTTTTTTGCCCCACTGTAATAAAATATATGTATTAAAATTTAATTATATAAATGTGTAGAAGGGACATCTACACTTATTTTGACATATTTTCATGCTTTAATAGCATAAATGATCTCATGCTTGCAGGAAGCTACACTGGAAAAAGAAAAAGTGCTGGAGGAGCTACGAAAAGTAAAGCAAAGCAAAGTGCAAGTGATCAACGAGACAACGCTGGATTATGCTACCAAGAAACCAGCAAATTCAGTTTCACTCCAGAATTCAAATGCTTTTAAAATACACACAAACCAACAGTCAATGGTTGGTAACAGTCAGAGTGAGATCACTGACACTATACTTAGAAAAAGCTCAGTGTCTGATAAAGGCAGGTCTGGTAAAAGCCAGACTGTTTCATTCAATATTATTGATTCTGGTTCCACCATCGATCTTGCTTCTGGCTCGCCTATGACAAGTAAATCAAAAGGGCTAAAAATGGAGTCTTCTTCCAATAAAATTCAAGGTCTCAGAGGAAGGATAAGTATTAAAAAGTTGGTAAAAACAAAAATAATTACTCAGGAAATTGCACTCAAGTTGCAAACAGGCCTCATTACTATAGAGGAGATAGAGGCATCACTTGCTCAATTCACTGGTAAACCATCCTCAATTGCAGGTGTTTACATGGAGTCTAGCAAGAAAAAGCTGTCCTTCCTAGACGCTGCAGCAGGAGGAATTATATCTAAAACCTATGCCATTGAGTTTCTGGAAGCGCAAGCTGCCACAGGATGCATCATTGATCCTATGACAGGTGAAGCGTACTCACCGTCAGATGCTTTTGAGAAAGATATCATTACTGGGGATCTCAAGGATAAAATAACTGAAGCTTACAAAGCAGTCAGTGGTTATACTCATGCTGGGAAGATTCTTTCAGTGTTTCAAGCTATGGAGGAGAGAATTATAGACAGGCATCGAGGAAAAGCATTAATAGAAACACAGATCACTACTGGAGGGTTGATTCACCCATTGATTGGATGTAGGGTTCCCATGGATGGTGCGCTAGAGCAGGGGCTCATAAATCAAGCCACATTTCAAAGTCTCTACGATCCAGTCAGCAACCCAAAAGATTTTCACTTCCCAGAAACAGGGCAGAAGGCGTACTATAGCGAACTGCTCAGAATCTGTGTGTATGATGTCAACGGTGGAGTGTATCTTCTTCCTTTTGGTGACCAGCATCTGTACACCCTCTCACCATCCAGCAAACACAGGATATCAGTCATCGACACTTCTAATGGTGCGAAAATGTCAGCTTACGAAGCATATAAGGCTGGCCACATTGACAAGAGAACCTACCTATTTCTCTCACAACAAGAGAGCGAATGGCAGGAGATAACAATCATGGACTCAAGTAGGAACCTTCTACACATCCTAACAGACCATAAGAGTGGGCGGCAGCTTTGCATTGAAAATGCTCTTAGTCTGAAAATTCTCCAAATGGAGGAGCTCAACAGCTACCGGAGTGAGCAGCTCAGTAATGCTGAGCTCGCTGATCTTTTGATTTCCAGAAGAGTTGTCTTTAAAGTCCCAAACAGTCCCGTCGCAGGACTTTGGGATGTGTCTTTGAAGAAACGACTCCCGGTTTTCAAAGGACACCAGCAGAACCTTGTGGACCGACTCACCACGCTGAGGTTGCTAGAAGCCCAGGCTTGCACTGGAGGCATCTGTGATCCAGCATCTGGAGAAAGGGTTCTGATTAAAGAAGCTCAACATCGAGGACTCTTGGATGAAGGTTTTGCCAGACAGCTCCAGCAATGTGAGCAAGCCTACTATGGTATCATTCACCCTCAGAATGGAAAGACTTTGACTGTGGCTCAGGCGATGCAAGAGAACCTTTTCCCGAAAGATGTTGGAGTGAAGTGTTTTGAGTTTCAACTGGCGACTGGTGGGCTCATTAACCCAGTCAACCAAGAGAGAGTCTCTTTGGAGCATGCGATACAGAATTGCTTGATCGACAAAGCAACTGCTGTGCATCTTCAGCATGACAACTCTCATTCAAAATGCATCACCTGCCCCAAAACCAAGCGAAAAATGTCTTTCAAGGAAGCTCTAGAAAAGAGTGTCTTTGACAGCCACACTGGGTTCGTCCTTCTTGAAGCAACAAAACCCCATAGTACTGGCAATACTTCATCCTTCCAATACTTCTGGACCTATCGGCACTTCTGATATGGTTCTGGACAGTGTCTAAAATATAAAATCAGGTCATTTTTGGTGAATGTTTTATGAATGGCGGAAAAAGAAATTGATTGGATAGTTTATTTTCATTTAGCTTTATCAAACATAGAAGAATATATTGTTATCCTGAAAAATATATAAGTCATAATGGTGAAAATGGGAGTCTTTAAATATGGGATTTTTTTCTACTGTAAGATATTATTTAAAAATGTCTCATATCTTGTGATCCATTTATTTCTTTTCAATGGCATTTTTAATTTATTGCCAAGCATGCTTCCACATAAAATGACTGGGAGCTTAAGACCTGCTGATTTCTTGTTGTATATTCTATTCAAACATAGAATTTAATAAGCTAATTGTGAATGTTTTACATTGTTTTCTAATCCACCCTACAATTTTTCTCCCAATGATTTTAGAGGTCTGTTGATGATGAGAAGAAAGAGCATGGCGATAAGGTTAACAAGTTGTTAAATTGGATGTCCAGTATGAAAACAAATCTGAACAAAGATGCAAAGGCTCAAAGTGATGGCAAACCCAGCACTGAGAGCACTAGTAAGCCCCAGGTAAACAAGTCAAACTACCTGATTGTTTTTTTCATTGTTTTGTTCAACAGGTCTTCAGCTTAGGATCTTACAGGTTAAAGGGTTTGTTCACCCAAAAATGAGCCTGTGTTTTACTCACCGTCAAGCCATCCTAGGTGTATATGACTTTCTTCTTTCAGAGGAATCCAATCAGAGTTATATTAAAAATTGTCCTGGCACTTCTAAGCTCTATCATTGCAGTGGGCGGGTGTTTCTGTTCAACAGTCCAAAACACAATAAATAAAGTGTGTGCATCCATCATAAAACGTGCCTCACATGGCTCCGGGGGGTGAATAAAGGCCTCCTGTAGCAAATCCATGCGGGCTAATTTTCGTTTTTGCGTGAACTATACCTTTAATTCATCTGTAGCTGTAGCTGTTAAATGTCAGCGTCTTGGTAACATAGTGAGCATTTCAGGGAATTGCTTTCATCATTTCCAAAATTTGCTAATGTCAAACACATCAGAACATACACATTTCCATTGTTATGTTTCTGAATAAAGATTATTTTGCATCTCTTCATATGTTTGTGTTGTTCACATACTTGTTACCTTCTTCTGTTATCCACCCACATTTCACAGAAAGTATTTACCCATAAAGTATCTATCCATGTATTGCAAGTAGTAATTTATATATTCACAATAATCACTATTTCGTTAGATCACATCTGAACCAGTCTTCAGGTCACTTCCTATTTTTCACTGTTACACAAGAGACAACAATGATAATCCAATCAATTGTATCCACAAGCACATACATGACTCAATCAAATACATCCACAGCATACATTAAATGTACAGTGTGATAAACTGTACAAATTACACTGGGCATTAAATCATTGCATTCTTTGGTGGTTACAGAATTTCTTGCTTTAGTGATGCTGTTATATCTCTACATTTCATCAAACACAGTCCTGCACACCACTCATTTTGGAGTGCTGCTTGGTTGTCGTAGCCAAGTAATTTAGGTGGTAAATGTTCTGTCGACTGACCCAAAGCAGAGAACAGTTAACATGCCATGTAAAATAAACCGTTTCCCAAATTAGAAAGTTGTGTCTGAATGACCATTCATCCATCTACAGTGTCCCTAATGACAGACCTTCTTCCATGTACTTCTCCAAACAAACGCTTTAGAACTTAATCGTGATGTTTATATAAACATGGCAACATATCTTTAAAAATACAGTGGGATCCACAAGTCTGAGGCCACTTGTGGAAATGCTTGTATGTTGCATTTTCTGTTTATTACAAACATATTATCGGCCTAACAATTTGACTGGAAAGTATAACGGAAAAAAATGACATGAACATCACTTTAACATCACAAACTCCATAAGTGTATGTAGAACCTGATGATCATGTCATTTAGCATGATTTGTTCTAAGAGCATTTTATGCTTCAGTGGCACCAGTAACTTTTGTACAAGGCAGTTCACATGGTCACAAACTTGATTAGTTATCTATAACTGATTACTTAATAACTTTGAATATCGAGGTGGCTTAGTGGGTAGCACTGTCACTTCACAACAAGAAGGTCCCTAGTTCAATTCCCGGCTGTGTCAGGAGGTATTTCTGTGTGGAGTTTCCATGTTCTCCTTGACTGGGTGCTCTGGTTTCTCCTACAACACAAAGGCATGCAGAATAAGTGAATTGGAGACACTACATTTTCTGTTTGGGAACTCCAATGAATTCCACAATTTTCCCCCACCTGTGGTCTGAGATGCTGGGATAGGCTTCAGCATCCCACTGACCCTACAGAGGATAAGTCAGTTTGGAAAATGGACAGATGTATAGATGGGAATTACAATACCTTCTTGTTTTAACTTTGTTTCTTTTACTGTTTTAGTTGAAGTGCGGTCATGGACCTTTGGATCCAAAAAGATATATAAGATCAAATCATGGAATTTGTTTTCAGATGTTCAATAGTATCATATGCCCACATTTTCTGCAAATTGTATGGCTAATGGTTGTTTAGCAAACATTTATCGGAGTTCCAATGGTTAAATGGCCTACAGTAGATGTTGGATGAAGTGGTTTTCAAAGTCATCTCAACCTAGTTGTGATTTACTAAACACTGTGCTTGTAAAGTTTTATTGACTTCCTATGTTTTATTATAGATGTCACTGGAGGAGATGGTGACAAAGAAGGAACAAATTGGAGAAGCATTGAGAACTACCCAGCTGATGCTAACCAAACACTGTGACAAGTATGTTATGTCCACGGAAGGGAAAGCATTCACTGAGAATGAATGGCGGCTCTAATAGCATTGTTTCTTTGCATGTGCTTGCGTGTCTTGTGAATTGATTTTGTGAAATGTTTTCTTTCACCAGAATGACTGAAGAAGAAAAGCAAGAAGCAAAAGAACAGCTGAAATGTCTTCATCAGGCCTACAGCGAGCTCTCTCAACAGTGTGCAGATGCAGCTTCCTCAGCCGATCAGGTGAGATAAAGATATTCTGCCAATGGCAACCCAATGCTGGTTATATATGGTGGTTATTGTGTGTGAAGTGTAAACACTTTCTCCAACGGCATGACTAGCCTTTGTTTTGGCAGCTTGAAATATATAGCATGGTAAGATCTGAGCCACTTTAACCCTTTAATCCCACCATTGCGAAGATGAAGAAAGACTTTGTGTGTAATTGAAAACTTCATGGTCAACTGAGTATGCTGTAAACATACATTGCATGCCAGCCACTTTCACTCTTTCTTCACAGCAAACCCTGAGGACATTCTTTTTGTCTACATGGGGTTCAGCACACTGCAGATAATAACATAATGCCCAGCGAGTTTTCTCTAACAGTGTTGTTCTACAAAATACTAAGAGTTCTGTTCACAGATGCATGTAAGCTTTTATTGTGTGCCATTTCTCTTGCTGATGACTTGCACTGTTGCACACGAGCTAGTACAATCCATGGACCGGGTGAGTATGTTTGATCATTTTTATAACCAATATTGCAATGGAAATGTATAGTGATCATGTTTGAACATGCATTTAGAAACATCTTGATTTCTTTGATCTCTTTCCAGGCACTGCAGGTCATCCAAGGGATTCTGGATGTTGAAAGTGGAGCTGTCATGTCTGTGTGTTGCTCAGTGAACAACGGCCTCATCGACCAGAACACAGGAGTTGGTCTTCTAGAGGCCCAGCTTATAACCACTGGACTCATTTGGCCTGAACAGCACTTGTATATGGACTTGGAGCATGCATTCAAGAACAAACTTGTGGATGACGCGATGTGCAAGCAACTGCAAGAGTTGAATGAAGCTAAAAAATGTCTTCAGAATCTCCAATTTGCTTTAGAACCCTTGCCGGTTATAACAGCCCTGGAAAATGGGGCTATATCTGAGCAAACAGCAATAAAGATAATTGAAATCCAGCTTGCAACTGGAGGGTTAAGACCGACATACACTGGTGATATTCTACATCTGGAAAGGGCTTTTCAACTTGGCCTGATACCCGAGTCACTGTTTATCCAGATATTGGAGAGGAAGGATAGTTGGAAGAACTTGATTGACCCCAACACTGCAGAAAATGTCACACTTAGTCAGCTTATGCAGAGGAGCATTGTGCACAAGCTTACAGGACTTCGCCTGCTTCCAGTGAAATGTGGAAAAGATGGAAATATATCCCTGATGTCTGGGAGAGAGATTAGCATTATGAAAGCCATGCACGAGGGCATCATTGATAGAGAGACCATGTTTTGGTTGCTGAGCACCCAGTTGTTTGCAGGAGGCATAGTTGACCCCAAAACTGGCCGAAAGCTGACTGTTGAAGAGGCCTTATCCGAGGGTCTGATCGATCAGGACACTGCGAGTGAGATACTGAGCCATCAGGCCCAAAATGGTGGCATTGTTAATCCTTGCAACAGGTCGAGACTTACCGTCGATGAGGCTGTCCAGTGTGACTTAATAAGCTCCAGCAGTGCATTGTTAGTTCTGGAGAGACAGAAGGCCTTCATGGGTCTTCTTTGGCCTAACGCTGGTGAAATTCTCTCTTTCTCCACCTCTCTTCAGCAAAACATGATCACAGACAGACTGGCGTCTGAGCTGCTGCGTAACCGGCACAAAATAACAGCCTTGTACATACCTGAAACCTCTGAGGTAGTTGACATTGACTCAGCGGTTGAGAACAACTTAATTGAGACATTTACAAAAGAGTTGTTGAAGACAATAGAAATCCCAGATGTGTTCCCTGATATAGATGAACTGAATAACAGCTTTTCATCCTGGCTGGTAATGCGGGAGCTTCAAATCGATGGATCTTGTTCAGCCGGTGAAGAAATCAGTGATGAAAACAGCACAGATGCACCATCTCCCTCTGAGGCGAAACAGTTATTTATTTCCTACCTCATGATGAATAGCTATATGGATCCAAAGTCAGGCCAAAGACTGTTGATCTTTGATTGGCAGATAAATAAAATGGCTAAATTACTCTTTGAAACATCAGAATCAGAACATGTAGATAAGACTATCAGACTTCATATGAAGGTTTCAGAAGAGTCTCAACTGAATAACAACATTTCTGACAATGACAACGCTTGTCTGATTGCCGATTATAGTGCTTTGGGAGAATTACAAATATGCGAACCTTTGGAAAGCACAACAGAAAAAGAGCATGGAGTGGTGAATTCTACAGCATTACACAATTGCCTAAAACCTACTCTACCCTCTGAATCTGTAATAAATACCATAGAAACTGATCGCAAATGGGATATTTTCCTAGACAGTGTTGAACATATGACTGTAATTGAAACTAGCAAACTGTCTAAGAATTCTACATGTTCAAACACAGACAAGTGCCAAGCAGAAACAAGTGACATAGCTTCTCCTCAACCATCGGAAGCAATGCAGTTATCACAAACAACCTTTTCTATAGCAGCAACTGCCTCAAGTTTGTGCTCGATGGAAGTGAATCCCAAATGTCATGATGCCAGTAAAGGCAAGGAAAAACATTCAAAAGACTCCACGCTATTGCCCAGTGAAACAATCAGTTATACAGAAATGCCCTCTGAATTTCCACATACAGAGGTTGTGTGGGATGACAAACTTGAGAGAGATTATGCCATCCATCTTCTTAGGGCACAAGTGGAGGAAGGTGGGATTTTAGATGTCACCTCTGGAAAACGGTATGACCTTGCAGCTGCTCTCGATAAAGGCCTTATTGATGAAGAGACTGTCTTGGAAGTACTCGCACTGCAGCTTCAAGAGGACGGTTTGAAAGAAACCGAAAGTGCTACATTGTCAGTTCTGAAAATTTCTGTCAGTAAAGGCTGCATCTCAAGTAAGGTAGCACTACAGATCATGGAAAAGCAGAACCTTCTGGGTGGTTTCTATGATGCAGCAGCTGGAAAAACCATTCGCATTTGTGATGCTTTAGAGACGGGTCTGATTACTGATGATCTCAGCAGAAGTGTTCTCTCTTCAGAGGCAATCAGGAAGGCCATCATTGATCCAGAGGGAAAGTGTGTGCTCAGTGTAAACGATGCCCACCAGTCTGGGATGTTGGATGATGAAGAGGCTGAGAGGATGCTACATTCACAACAGGATGAAAGGGAAGACGTTATGGTGCCTGACTTAGCAAAAAGAGGCCAGATGAGCTTGAGATCAGATGAAGCCACGCAGGTATCTACAGACATAGCATGTGTGAGCAGTAGTCAGGGTTCTCTGTTACCCGCCATTACTGACACACCATCAAAAGACAATATGTTTGATAAAGTTTCTGAGACTAATGCAATGGGGGAGGATTGTGATGAACAGTGTGCTAGTTTCAAGACTACAGATCCCAAAAACGACATAGACACTACAGATGAAAGAGAAAGAGGTTTCACTTTGGAAGGAAATGAGACAGAAAGACCACATTACAGCGTGGACACTTTTGTTGTTGATGATTCTTGTAAAACTGTAAGTCCTTCTCCATGTGTCAGGCAGGTGGCATATCTTGAGACAACGTCGAATCAGGTTGTTAGCCCTGTACAGAGTGACTCTGGGATATCATGTTCATCACAAAATTATATCTGCTCTGAAGAAAGGAAATCTAATCCTGAACAGGAATTCAACAGGTCCAAAGTGGAGTCTGAATCAAATGCATATTTTGACAAAAAGCCTTCTGAGGGCTTAAGCACTTCACTACCAGTGGTAGAAAATGTTGCTGAACTGCAGTCAAACTCATCTTTATGTTGCACAAGTGCCACTATAGCAGATGTGAATTTAAGTACCGATGATCAGCACACATTAGTTCAGAATATGCTGAATGAGAAAGAAGAGGTGTCATCTCAGACCAATGCTTCACATAAAGCTAAATACTCCAATAATGTAAGCGAGAACCTAGATGATGAGCATTCTGTTGAGGATTCAGGTGTGTTTAGTTCTGAAAATAGAGTAAAGGACATGGTTAAATATGAGGACAGAAATGCACCACAAACAAAAGTTGAGCCCAGTGCGGTCTGTGCAGAAAGCAGTATTGACTGTAAGGTAGAAAAGAATGATGACATTGAAAACTCTGTAGGTTTCAAAGGATCTGAGGACACATGTCAGCTCAATTTAATGGATTTAGTTGGATCAACGGTAAATTCCGAGCAGTTACCACTTGAAATTGTTACTAATTCTAGTCAAGGTGATTCAAGTGGAGGTAATCATAACATACAGCACCCAAGTGAGCAAGGCATATTTTGTAAAACCACTACAAAAGATGAGTTAGCCAGATCATCTGAATCAAACTTTACAAGTGACAATGAATCAACCTTGGGTCATTGTTCACAGGATATAATCGCAGAATTCAATGATTTGCAATCTGCCTCCCAAATTCCAAGTCCTTCAGTCAAAACCATGATTGATCAAAATAGCGAACAAAGCGGAGACATCTTCAACCAGTGTCAAGCTGGAGATACAGTGGTTGCTGAAGGTGTACACCAAGATGATCTTCATTTACCTCACATGGCAATGGCCGAAGATGAAAGTTTACCAAAATCAATGGGAGGCAGTGATTTAAAGTCTTTTTTAAATGAGTTGATCCAAATGAAGATGGATGGAGCAAGTGTGGTTGAGACTCAAAAACAAAAATGCCAAGCCATCGATAGCATTATTGAAATTATTCAGCACCACTCTGGAATCTCACCAACCAATCATCCCAACTCAAATGAGAGAGGTGGGGATCCTGATATCCTCTTGGATTTGAAAAAACATGAAGAACCAAGAGAAGCTCAGAACTGGCCATCTGATGAGAGTAATGATGAACCAAAGCATCAGACTGATCTACTGGAGATGATTCAGGGGATCTCCATAGATAGAGATAAAGGAATGCTCGAGGAAGTGGATGGAAAGCCAAGCAGCCCTTTGGGAGGCACTGCCCCGAGAGAAGAAAGCATGGAAGCCAAAATCATTCCTGTTCCAACCACAGATGATGCTGCTGCTGCAGATGACGACTTCCAGCCAACCGACTCGAACCACCTGGTTTCTATGACAGAGGATCCATACATACAGCAAACAGACAGAGTCAAACCTAGAGTGAGTACTGATACTACTCTTAACTGAGTTAGATGCTGATTTTTGTATTATCAACTCTGCGTCATCCAGATGCATGTTTTGGATGAAGGTGTAAGTATAATGGTGTACTTCTTGCAGAGGTATTCCACCCAGAATTACTTGGAATGTGTTGGGAGGCTTCAGGATCACTGTGATACTCTTGAAGATATAAGAAGCGACTTGCAGACCAAGGGTCCGTTGGCAGAATTCATTGAGGGGTTGCATTGTCAGTTAGAGGAAGTTCAGGTTTGTCAAAAAATATAAAGCCTCAGTTCTCTTGACTCACAGAGTTGTTTGCCTGTGCCTTCTTTCTGCATGGTTATCTGTGCTGTAGTCTATCGCTTGTTCCTTTTATTCTGTCGCTCTTCTTCACAATTCCTTCCTTTTGTTCCCCACCTACTCCCACGCTGTTTCTAGTCCCTGGAAGCACAGATTGCCGCTCTCCCTGACTTGCTTACAGCAGATTTGAGTGTAGCTGAGCAACTTCTGAATTCCGCTGATGAACTCGTTCCCACGCAAATCCACCAAGATTTGGCCACAGTTTATGTAGATTTACAGAATGCTTTCACAGATGTTTGCCACTTGTCAGCTGAGCGAAGTAATGCTATACTGCTAGCCATTGAGACAGTGAAGGTTAGTAAAGGCTTGTGAAAAGAAAGCAAGAGTGAATAGAGAATGATGAAAATTAGATTCTCACACTTGTTCAAATATGGGTTACAGATCCATTTGGAAACCTTGTGTCAGGATTTGCTAAGCTCTCTTGAGAAGGTCTCAGCTTGTATGCAAGACAATTCTGAGATGGTGTCTAAGCTTGATATCATGGATGCTGATAACATAGAAATAATTAAGAACAAGATTCAGCAAAATAAGGTAAGTTGACGTGTTATTTCAAAGTTGCATGAAATACAAGTTAAAAAGTGATGTTTATCTCCCATATCGAATTAAGCCACTATCTGTTCAACAGTTTTGCTTAGTGTTTTTCATTGTTCGTGATTCAGGACATAGAGAAAGACTTATCAGGAACCCGACAGCTCCTGGAAGATGCTGCTTTTGATATCCAAAACTTCATTTCTGAGCATGCTCAGTTCCTGAGTCCCACTGACAGCAGACACCTTCTAAGGGCTCTTAGCACTACTCAGAGATCCTTCAAAGAGCTCATGGACAGAGCCTTCACTCAGAGACAAACTCTAGAGATCCAGTTGGAGATCTGTGAGGATGAGACTCAGCAGCAGGTCTGAGAGAGATCGAAGAGATCACACTGACCATTGACCTTTATCTAATAACATTAAAATGCATGAAGTTGCTGCTTTGATGTGAGGTATAGTTTGATATGAAGCACTGGAAAACTCATTGCCCTTAAAGAGGAAACCCAAAAGACCCCATGAAGTGGCTTGTATGCAGTTTCCTTTGGTGCATTGACATTCTTCCTTTTGAAACAAGAAACTGGTGCAGAACATGTTGAACAATTTACTAATCCTGTTTAAAAATAGACAACAGCACTGTGTTTAAGCCATAGTCATTAACTTAATTTGCTACTTGATGTTGCAAAATGTGGATATGCCCATGGGTAGGGTTGCAAAAAGGTGGAACATTTCCAGTAAATTTAGGAAATATTCCAGAAATTTTGGAAACTTTCCAGGATTTTTTTTGGAATAATCCAGGGATTTTTGGAAAGTTTACGGAAATTTGCTGGAAATTTTCCACCCCTTTGCAACCCTACCCATGGGTAATGGCTATTTTTACCTACTTTTAGGAGTTTAGGAGCCAGTAAATTTCAGCCTCAAAACTCAATTTTTTACTTTGTGGGGTCTTTAAAAAGAGTTTTGGTCTATTCATGAATGTATTATTTGTGTGCTGTGTGATGTTCATTGCAGTGCTCTGAGTTTAATCACGTTACTTTTTTTCTATTTACAATACAGAAAAGCCATGGCTTGATCACTGCCACCAACTTACCTTCTTCTGATCATGTTTGCATTTTTCAGCCTGCCTGAACCATTTCAGCTCTTAACTACCAAAGGACCAACATTTTATTCAATGTGGATATGCTTTCCAGCAGTAAAAGCAGCACTAACCCACCTTTCTTTACCATTGCCAAAATCCCTTTGAACGGCTGGCATGTTTACAGCATACTCAGTCACTACTGATGGTTAAATGCTCAGTATTTGGTGTGCTGCTGTGTTTTAGCTCTGTGGAGAAGGTTTTAGTTTGTCTTTCTAACTGAGTGTTTATGTGGTAGGCTGCTGTGGAGAAGCAGAGGGAGCTTTCAGAAAAGCTGCAGGAGCTGTTTGATGATCTGACACAGACAGAAAATCGCCTCATTGGACACCAGCAGCAGGCTGCCAGTGCAAAGACTGTGGGAGACCTCCAGCAATACCAGCAAGAGCATCAGGTACAACCTGGTAACATTTTCTACAACTTTGCTCTTATCTGTAAGATCAAAACTGAAAGTGTAATTTAAGTTATTTTCGGTGTGATCAGGAGAAGATGCCTCAAAACGCGTATCCGCGTTAATCGACCTCAGAGGGTATGTTAAGCATCATTACCTGTGTCAAAACATTGACACAACTCTGATCCCACACATTTATGGAACAACCATGAAAAATATCTCCATTTGTGTTAATTATTGAACCTGGTAACATTTTCTACAACTTATACATGTAATGCATTCATTTGTAAGGTTATTGGTGGTCTATGTTGAGCATCATTACCTGTGTCAAAACATTGACACAACTCTGATCCCACACATTTATGGAACAACCATGAAAAATATATCCATTTGTGTTAATTATTGATTTAAGGTGTGCTGTTAATTTTAAATGACCCAACACCATTTTTTAAACATCCTAGCAACACTCACCCACACCACACTAGCAAGACTCAGTAAATGCTTAGCCATGCAACCACACAAATCAACCTAGCAATGCCCCAGCAATAAACCCAGACAACTGTACCAACACCTTCACAAGTGCCTAGCAATGCGTTGGCAATGGTTGGCAACAGGTAACCCTTATCTGTAGTAAAATCACTGTAACACATGGCCTTGTGTGGCTTGTTGTGATTAATTGTGTGTGTGTGTGTCTATGTTGGTCTCTCAGGCTTTACAGAAAGACCTCCAGGCTAATGCCAGTGCGCTCAATGAAGTCATCAGTAGCACAAAGAAGTTTCTGGAGGAGAATCGCAGTAAACTCACTCCAGAGCAGATATCGGCTCTTGAGAACAAACTGGAGGAATTGAAGAGCAAAGCGAATATGCTTAACCAGAAGGCAGAAGAGTCAAGGAAGGATCTAGAGCAGGTTTTGACCAGTGCTATCAAGCAGGAGACTGAGAAGGTTAGAGGGGAAAAACACTTTCCTAAACACTATTCAATCAAAAGGTTTCAAAAGATTGAATTTAGTCACTTCCTCCATTGCATTTAGTTTGTGCTGGCTATAAGACGTTTTTTGTTTACTTTCTTTGATTATTTTCTTTATTTTTTTCTTCTTTTGATTATGTAAACCAAAGCAATTTTTCCTCTCTGTACTGTACAGGAGGCAGCTGTTGAACAACTTGAAGAGAGCAAAACTAAGATTGAGGGTCTTCTAGGCTGGATCTCCAACATTGGGAAAGAGAAAGAAATGGGTGGAATACAAAAGGACCAGATGGTTAAACAGAATGGAAACATGCCTGAGTACACATCGATGAAGGGAATAATTGGAGCGGAAGATGATCCTAATGGAAATGCATTAGATACTACAGACAACACAAGTCTACATGCTGGCGAAAAACAAGATGGTAAAGACCTTGGTCTGGACCAGCAGTTTAACAGGGTTCAAGTAAGTACTTGAGTATACCATATACTGTACAGTGCTCGAACGTTTTTGAACCCTATAGAATGTTCTATATTTCTTCAAAAAATGACCCAAAAAACTGTTTTAGGTCCTTCCACAACATTTTAATTGGGTTAAGGTCTGGACTTTGATTTGGGCATTCCAAAACATGAACTTTAACCATGCTTTGTTAGAACGATTTGTGTGCTAGGGGTCGTTGTCTTGCTGCATGGCCCACTTTCTCTTGAGATTCAGTTCATGGACAGATGTCCTGATATTTTCCTTTAGAATTTGCTCATATAATTCAGAATTCATTGTTCCATCAATGATGACAAGCCGTCCTGGCCCAGATGCAGCAAAACAGGCCCAAATCATGATACTGCAATCACCATGTTTCACAGATAGAGCAAGTTTCTTATGCTGGAATGCAGTGTTTTCCTTTCTCCAAACACAACACTTCTTATTTAAACGCAAAAGTTCTATTTTGGTCTCATCCATCCACAAAACATTTCTCCAATAGCCCTCTGGCTTGTCCACATGATCTTTTAACAAACAGCAGACGGGCAGCAATGTTCCTTTTGGAGAGCAGTGGCTTTCTCCTTGCAACTCTGCCATGACACCATGGTTGTTTGGTGTTTTCTTGATGGCGAACTCATGAATATGAACATTAGCCAAAGTGAGAAAGGCCTTCATTTGCTGAGAAGTTACTATACTACTGTGTACTATTACACTTCTCATGCAAAATGGAATGGAAACCAGGCAAAAGACAATGATCTCATGTAATTTTCTGCACTAGATGGCAATTAAGTAATTTGGACATCTTCTTGCGTCCCTTCTTTCTTTTGGAGTGATCTTTGTTGGTCTTGAATTAGTCTTGAATTTCCTTTAATATTTTGGGCGCGTTTGTTTCAGTTTTTCGTGGGTCATACTTATGCAGAAATATAGAAAATTCAAAACTTTCAATCACAACTGTAGCTGTAAATATCATGACTTGACAAACATTTCACCTACTGAGATTTTTTAAGAAAATGTTGTAGAAACAAGGGCTAAGCAATTATATTCACCATAAGGTCATTTATTTGTATTGGTGCATTCATAACCTGTAGACCCAGAATATTTAATTTAATGGTGACTTGTTAACAGCCTAAATTGGATTCAGGTGAAAATGGAATACTGAATAAAACGCATTCAATTTTAAAATTCAAAGGAAGTCGAATGGCAATAAAATGCTTTGACTTACTAGCTCTTGATTCTCGATTCACAGGCCCACCACCAGGAGATCTTGTCCCAACAGCAGGATCTGATCATCGCCACACAGTCAGCACAGGCGTTACTCGACAAACAGGCTCAGGTCCTGTCACCCACTGAAAAAGACAAGTTACAGAGGGACATTAAAGAGCTGAAGGGTCGCTACGAGGCCTCTCTCACGCAGGCCGAGCAGCAGATGAAGCAGGTCCAGACCGTCCAGGAGGAGCTTCAGAAGTTCAAGGGGGACTGTGAGGAGTTTGAGACGTGGCTACAGCAGGCCACAGGGGAGATGGAGGAGCTCGGTGTGCCCGCTGCTGGTCTGGACACTCTGAGTAACAATCTACAGAGACAGAAGAGTTTCTCTGAAGACGTCATCTCTCATAAAGGAGACCTGCGCTTCATAACCATCTCCGGTCAGAAGGTGCTGGACGCAGCGAAGGCCTGCGATCACAGTGAATCGGACGGCCTGCCGATGGTCGATATGTCCGGGACTTGTGCTGCAGTGAAAGAAAGGCTGGACTCTGCCGCCAGTCACTACAAAGCCTTGCATACGCAGGTATTTCAAATGTCAAATCCTAGAGGTCACTGCAAATCAAAAAGAAAGGAAGAAATTATGTTTTGCTTTAAAAAAATGAGCCTATTTCCAGGAACATTATAATTGAATTCTTGGTCACACTTCATTTTAAGGTCCAATTCTTGCTATTGACAAACCATTAATACGACTTTTGCCTCAATAAACTCCTAATTTGCTGCTTATTAATAGTTAGTAGGGCAGTAGTTAAGTTTAGGGTATTGAGTAGGATTATGGATGCAGAATATGTGCTTTATAAGTACAGCCAATATGTTAATAATAGGCATGCTAGCTAATTAATACTGAGAATGGGCCCCTTAACTAAAGTGTTAAGAGTAGTTTTGAATCATTTTGCTGGATGGGAAATGAAGCACTTTTTGATTACAACCAATAGATGGCAGCATTTGCCTCTAAATTCTGCAAACATTCACACAGCATTCAGCAGAAACCCTTCAGTCTTTTATATAAATCATAAATGAAATGAAACTAATTATTTTAAATGATACACTGAAAAACATACTTCCGATGCATTTCAGTGTAATCAGCTTGGAAATAACCTGAAAGACGTGGTGGACAAGTACAAGAAGTATGAAGATGCCAGCGGTGCTCTGGTGAAGTGGCTGAATGTCTCTGAGGAAGAGTCCAGAAGGCAGCAGTCAGAGCCTATTGCTGGAGACCCACAAACCCTACAGAGACAGCTGGAGGAGACCAAGGCAAGAGCATTATGACACGATATAATATAATTATAATGTAACTGTATTTGTCCAAATATATACATTGTATTGGTCATTCTCATTTGAGCAATTACAGTTTTGGAATTTGAATATTATATAATCATATATAACAATGCTACTACAGCCACCTGAAACTCATGACAGCATAAACTCTCACTTCTGAGTGCCAACAAGAGTTCAAGATGTCATTATAGATGTCATCTCCAGCTGCATACCCATTACTCTCTTTGAAACAATAGAGCAGGGGTGGCGAACGTCGGTCCTGGCGAGCTGCAGCCCTGCAGAGTTTTGCTTCAACCCTAATCAAACACACCTGAACAAGCTAATCAAGGTCTGAACGGTTATTAGGAAGCTACAGGCAGGTGAGTTTTAATTAGGGTTAGAGCTGAACTCTGCAGGGCTGCGGCTCTCCAGGACCGGAGTTCGCCACCGCTGCAATAGAGCTACAGTGGAGAAAAACAAAAATAAAAAATCTGTATTTTCCCAAAGACAAAAACATCCATACAAACTAATAATAATATGTATTATATAGACCAAATATACCTAATCAATATATTTTCTTTAGACATAAGCCAGAAAGTTCCCTAATATTTGTATTTTTTTTTTTTTGCCATTTAATTTCACCATAAACAAAAGCTGAACTAGCTATGAAAGTATTATTTTCACTTAAGATAGAACTAAAAACAGCACTCTAGTACTATTTAAACAAATTTGTTTCTTTATTTTTTTTCTATGGAGACTGTTATTCGCTTTCAGTAAAACTGAACATACCAATATAAAAATGCACTTTAAATAAATGACACAGTCGTTTCATTTATAGCCCTTAAAACATACCACAACACATATTACTTACAGTAGCTCAGATTTAATTTGCTTGTGTTGTATTATAGCTCGCAATTCTTGCAGAAGTGGATACAGAAGCAGACAATGCTAATCATACTTAAATAGATTACTTCTCCCATGATGCACTCAGACCAGATTCGGCTGAGCAGCAGTGAGATCAGATACACACACAGAAAATATATTCATGCTGCATTACTGTACTCTAGGGATGTACTGTATAGTACAACTGTCTTCTGACCTTGTATGTATATGTCCTTATGCTAAACAACTCAGCCTTTTTAATGTCCCTGTGTCGTATGGCCTGTGGAGATGGATATAGATCACACACAATTGATGTTGTGCTTTTAACATAATCAGTCTATTGACTGCAGTCCTATTAGTGGAGTGTAATAAGCATTGGTCTGTGACAGAGTCTTCAAGGGCAAACAACGTCCCGTCAGGCTGCAGTGGATACGCTGAGAAAAACAGCTGATGCCTTGATCAGTGCAGAGGGAGACCTGCTGTCCCATCCAGAGGAGATTCAGGAGACAGTGGGTGAGTCAAAAATCTCACAAAAACCTGTCTGGGTCACATTTCACACCAGAAGCATAAAAAAAAGCATTTTGAATAAAGAAAATAAAGCCTATTTTAAGACCATGAAGAATTTCAGTCAGCATAACTTAAAAGCAGTATAACATATACAAAGAAGTTTAAATGATGTACGATTAGATGCTAAAATACTGTAATAAGCAGTTTCTATTCATAAAAGATTTTTGGGAAGAAAATCATTTATTAATGCTTTTCTGTTTGTAGATGACATCGTAGAAAGATACGACAACCTGTCGAAGTCAGTGAGTGACCGCAATGAGAAGCTGCAGGTGACTCTGACGCGCTCCCTGAGTGTGCAGGACGGCCTGGATGAGATGATGTCCTGGATGGAGAAGGTGGAAGAGAGCGTGAAGGAGACGCCTAAAGTGCCGCTGGACTCCAGCTCTATTGCAGATGCACTTAGCAAGGAGGCAGTATGTGTCCAAAGATACTATGCACTGTATATTACAAAGCGAATACGTAACCACATAGCGAAAACTTACCAGACAAAACTCTGTAATGCACAGTTACAGGGATAGTCCACCCAGAAATGAAAATACCGCCTCATGTTGTTGTTGTTTGCATTTCATTCTTCTGTGGAACATAAAAGAGTTTATGAAGAGTATTGGGAACCCAACAGTTTTGGATCCCATTCACTCTCATTGTATCAACATGAAGAAGAACTTTAAGATGACTTGAATTCAAAATCGACCAGTGCCAGTCAGAGATAGTGTCTGGGAAAATATGTGACCCTGGACCGCAAAACCAGTCATAAGGGTCAATTTCTCGAAATTGAGATTTATGCATCATCTGAAAGCTGAATCAGCTTTCCATTGATGTATGGTTTGTGAGGATAGGACAATATTTGGCTGAGATACAACTATTTAAAAATCTGGAATCTGAGGGTGCAAAAAAATCTAAATATTGAGAAAAACTCCTTTAAAGTTGTCCAAATGAAGTTCTTAGCAATGCATATTACCAATCAAAACAGAAGTTTTGATATATTTACGGTAGGAAATTTACAAAATATCTTCATGGAACATGATCTTTACTTAATATCCTAATGATTTTTGGCATAAAAGAAAAATCGTTAATTTTGACCCATACACTGTATTTTTGGCTATTGCTACAAATATACCCCAGCGACTTAACACTGCTTTTGTGCGCCAGGCTCACATATTTGTATTATTTCTGTTGTTCCATTTGATGCTACAGATGTCAACTTTAATAAACACAGTAATGGCATAACCACAAAAAAAAGAAAGAAAACCTTAAAAAATGGGGGAAAAAACGCCTGTCCATTTCTTTCAGGCTCTGGAGCAGGACATGTCCAGCAGGCAGAGCAGCATCTTGGCCATGAAGGCAAAGGTGAAGAAGTTTGTGGAGAGCGCTGAGCCGGCCGCTGCCGCCCTCCTCCAGACTAAGATGGAGGGCTTGTCCCAGCGGTTTACTGATGCCTCTGAGCAGCACAAGCAGCAGGTGGCTCAGATGGAGGAGCTCCGAGACAAGGTGGAGCAGTTTGAGAAGACATCTGAGAAGGTGCAGCAGTTTGTGCTGAAGAGCTCGCAGGCTCTCTCTGAGACAGATGGACCAGGAAAGACCGTCGCTGAGCTCTCACAGCTCCTCCAGGTGTGCTGCTCACGACTGCACTGCCTCCTAAACTACATATTTTGATTGGACTTCTATGCTTTTGGTTCTTGTCTGTTAGCTTTGAGGAATGCCCTATTGTTGTCCAAAAAGCTGATAGGCATATAGTGGATGTGAACACTAAAAATTACAGTCTTTTTCTTCTAAGAAGGCAGACTAAAGATACTCATGACCAGTGTTGGGGGTAACGCATTACAAGTAACGCGAGTTACGTAATCAGATTACTTTTTTCAAGTAACTAGTAAAGTAATGCATTACTTTTTAATTTAAAAGAGAATATCTGAGTTAGTTTTTCAAATAAGTAAAGCAAATTACTTTTTTTCCCAATTTATTGACTGACAGCTCTGCTGTCCCCGTGTTGAGAGAAATCAGAAGATGTTACTGTAGTTCTAAAATAAGCTCACTCACAAAAAAAACCCCACAGATTCAGTATTCCTCAAAATGAATAAAAAAATGCAACTCAGAATATGACGCAAACCTGCAATAATTAAATGTTAAACAACATAAATATGCTTTATGTATTTAATCCCATTCTATTAACCAATGTCTTTGCTTCTGAGCTTCGATGATCCAGTTCAAGCGTACTAATAAGCACTAATTACTCTAGACAAACATTTGTGTGTCTTTTTTTTATTGCTGAAGTGTGTTGAAATGTCTTCTTCTGCATTCTACTGTACTTTCCCTTCAGCCTGAGGCGCATTCATTTCACTTTTGGTGTGAAAAGGCTTTTATATTTGCCAAAAATAGAACTTTTTTATTTTAAAAACAAACAAGCAAACCTTGTCCAGATTTTAAAAAGTAGCGCAAAAGTAACGTAACGCGTTACTTTCCATAAAAAGTAACTAGGTAATGTAATTAGTTACTTTTTTATGGAGTAACGCAATATTGTAATGCATTACTTTTAAAAGTAACTTTCCCCAACACTGCTCATGACTGGGTGAATGCAATTATTTATTTATTTTTGTCCAAAGAAATGCTCTAGCTTGAAAATATCGATCCATAATACCACCTTCCAATGAATAGCAATAGCAAATACATTAAAAACATGGCTGTGAAGTTATTATAAAAAAAACCCGGGATGGACAGCGAGATAGCTCTCTATAGTTTGGAAGAGAGACAACCTGTCTATGATCAGTTGTCTGTTGATGTTTCACATCTTGAAGTTGTAATAACATCTTTATTTGTAGGACACAAATGCAGAGTTAGCCGAGCACTCAAAAGACGTGGAAACGCTCCAGAAACTGTCTGAGGAACTCTGCAAGCTGGGTCCAGAAGGAAGCGCAGCTCTTCTTCAGAGCAAGATGCAGAACATCTCTGACAGCTTTAATGCTTTTAAGGAGACAAATACTGAGAAGTAAGTGATTGTTAAGTAACAGCACTTAGCATAAAACAATACTTAAAATAAAACACAGACTAGGGGTTGCACCGGCTAATCGACTAGTCGACTTCAGTGCTCTGCCATGACGCTTTAAGCTTGACGTCGACTAGTCGCTGGTCCTATAGAGGGCGCAACAGGATAAGAAATCTTTGAAGGACTTCCACATTTACGCTCCGTTTCCAAACAGTTCAAATGACAAATAAATGCATACTCTGAAAGTGCTCCACAAGACATATGTGATTATATTACTGGATGCTCGAAATTGAACGGGAGATTGCAGGTTTTAAATTGCTAATTGCACAGGTAAGTTAATCGCCGTTCTAATCTAATGCGCTGCTGCACTGTAACACACACATAGGCTACAGACAGCTCGTACATCACGCGCACAGAATCAGTCAGAGCGGAAATGTATTGTCAACACTGTTCTGTGATTTCTCAGTAAAATAACTTAGAAACTGAAAAGTTCAAGCTTATATTTCTTAATAACTAAATCACACAGCTTCACTACTAGTAGAGAGACGCTGCCAGGTAGAATTAATTCACACACGCAATCATTCTCACTAATGCATTCATATTAATGTAATCTTTACTGTGCTACTTTATTTGTATCTGATTTCTGAGAAATATAACGACCCAAAGACAAAAGAACTGATAAAAAACGCTGTTATAGGAGCAATAGCCATGTGGGCAGCGCTGTGTCATATGCCGTATGTGCACAAGCTGTTTATCACAGCTCCAGACTTATTTGTTCATTAATGACGTCATCAGCGACTAGTCGACTTCGACTCGACTTTCATCACATAAAAGTCGACTTCAAAAAATCAGAAGTTGTTCAACCCCTAACACAGACTATGCCTCAAATTATGATATGTGACCCTGGAGCACAAAAGCAGTCTTAAGTCGCTGGGGTATATTTGTAGCAATAGCCAAAAAAACATTGTATGGGTCAAAATTAACGATTTTTCTTTTATGCCAAAAATAATTAGGACGTTAAGTAAAGATCATGTTCCATGAAGATATTTTGTAAATTTCCTACCGTAAATATATCAAAACTCAATTTTTGATTAGTAATATGCATTGCTAAGAACTTCATTTGGACAACTTTAAAAATTATTTTCTCAGTATTTCGATTTTTTTGCACCCTCAGATTCCAGATTTTCAAATAGTTGTATCTCAGCCAAATATTGTCCTATCCTAACAAACATCAATTGGAAAGCTTATTTATTTAGCTGTCAGCTGATGCATAAATCTCAATTTCGAGAAATTGACCCTTATGACTGGTTTTGTGGTCCAGGGTCACATATTGTCTCATTCCAGTGTGTCCCATTCTTTTTTATATACTTCTCTTGGCTCTGACATATGTCTCTGTTATTTAATTGGATAAAGTGACGCTAGAACTGTTATAGAATTAAAACCATGTGCTGGAATGGAACAGTATTACAAGAAATATTAGTTACGCTTTTGCCAGATGTCAGACTATTTAATAAAACTCTATATGCATATGTATCCTATGTATTGCAGAAAAGAGGAGGTTTCATCTTGCCAGAAGCAGCTGCAGGAGTTCAAAGCTGCCGCAGGGGTGTTAATGAAATGGCTGGAGGAGACAAAAGAGCAAGTGCCAGTGCTTCAGCCCAACTGCAGTGAACAGGGCCTGGGAACAGACCTGCAGAAGGTCAATGTGAGTGATGGATTTAACTTTTCACCTCTTATTGTGGGACCACAAAACCTTCAGAACAGAACGTTGATGTAAATGAACAGAAAATAGCTAGAATAGAATAGAATAGCTTCTTCAGTTTAAACTACTTAAAATCTGTTTGTTAATTTTTGTCGACACAATTACCGCATGTCCTGGAATGGAATGTGAGCTAATATGAACTTTTGATATATTTTGTGATAGTAATGATGTGAGATGGACCTTTTTTCCCGTTTTTGGATGAGCTAGGTAAGCTGTGGACTTGCTAAGAAGTTAGTTAGCAGTCAGTTAATAATCAATGTATTTAAATAATACATAATACATAAATATTTTTACTAATTTTTTCTCTCTAAATTGCAATTCTCAAATACTAACGGGTTTTGTAATAACATACAATTAAATGAAAGCCATTTCTTATGTTCAAACCCTCCTTCTGTTGGCCAGACAGATACTTCTCATTTCCATTATAACCAAATGTTTAATAATTGTTTTGTAAAATGACAAACAAAAGCATTATTTATAGTATTACAACATATTCGGTTAAAAAAATTGCAAAGCATTGCATTTTAGTACTTTTTATGAAATTATGATAGAAGAAATGTTTGTCTGGGAAAGAACTCCAAAATAGAATCATTCTAGCAAACAAGCAAAGACTCAAAGCAAAGAAAAGATTAAGGATTTTTAAAATCTTTTTCCATCCATTTCCTCAAAATGTCAAAACGTCTCTTAACTCTATATAGATTTGAAAGTTTTCAAATGACATTTTCTGGTCTGTTGTCTGCAGGGCTTACTGGACGAATGGACTTCCAAAGCTCCTGCAGTCCAGGATATAAATAGCAAAGGATCTGCTCTATGTAGCCTAATCAGTGTTTTGACATCACCGGCCAAAGCCAAGATGCGTCACAACTCAGGTATTGCCCAGGAATATTTTAAGATTGTCTCAGTTCTACATGATCACTCATTAATTCCATCTAGCATAAAAACAAACAGATGGAATGTCTTTTTTCTTGCTCTCTCTCTCTTTAGGATCAGCTGTTAGTAATGGTTCTGATTCAGGCAGCCATTCTTATCTGACAAACCAAGGTGAAAGTTCATACTAGTTTTCCCTGTGACCAATTACTAATACTGTGGTCAGTTTAAATGTATGCTATTCAGCCTATTTGTATAAAACTATAAGCATATATTTTATTTGCTATTAGAGTTGATGCTGGTACAGCAGAACATGTCCTACATTAACAACGATTACGAACATCTGGGGGAGCTCCTGAAGGCCAGGTCCTCTGAGCTCAGCGCTTTGTTGAAGAGAGTTCAAGGTGTCCATGATCAGGCTGAGTCTTTACGTCAGTGGATGGAAGACACAAAGAAGACAGCAGCATCATTGAATAACCATCCATCTGAGAAAGATGCAGTAAAATCACAGATAGAGCAGCAGAAGGTACATTAAATGCATTACTGTGGATTACTTGAAGGTGGTTGCCAGGTTTCTCTGGGAATGTATTCCAATATTTCAGGCTATTCCACATATTTTCACAGATTTTTCTCAACGATAACTACAGAAAATCTAACAGTATGTCATCATAAGATGATTCTTTAAGCTATAAGCATTGAAATAGCTGATTATTATGTCTGTCTTGCAGGTCTTTGAAGATAATATGAAACAAAAGCAAGTGCAGCTCCAGCAGCTCAGGGAGAATCTGCTCCGCTTAATCGAGGAACACCCTGATTCACCCGAGGCAGAAAAGTGGAAGCACATGATGGCACAGATAGGTATGCATGCATCACATCCAAAACCAATCATCTACTTTTATCTGCTCATCTGTGTGCATGGCCAGGTGCAGATTCACACACTTACCTTCTGCACCAACTGTGAGCTGAAGTGAAGCTCCTGTGAAAGCTCAAGCTCTGAATCAGTGCTCGGCTAAAGTGAAGCTGGGAGTGATAAAATGATGTGTGTTATGCTCCACACACAGATGCAGGATGGGAGGAGGTCAAGGGCACAATGGAGATCCGGAAACAGCACCTGGAGGAGTCGTCTCGCATGCTGGAGCTCTTCCAGACGACCCAGCCGCAGCTCTCGCAGTGGCTGCAGGAGAAGGAGTTGATGATGGGTGTCCTGGGGCCTCTGTCTGTGGACCCAAACATGCTTAACACACAAAAGCAGCAAGTCCAGGTACTGGTTGATATATTATCAAATATCAGAGGCTATAGGAGGTTAAACGAGTAGTTCACGCCAAATGTTTTTTCACAAAACCCGTACTCTTATTTTATTACAGCTATATATGTAACTTTGTTATTTTATCAATGTTATTAAAAATGCGATGCATATTACAACAATTGGAAAGTACAATAAAGAAAGACAAATTAAATAAACTAAATTGTAAATAAACTATAAATAAATAAGCTATACATTTTTCAGGTACAGTAAATTAAATAGTTAAATGTAAAAAAAAAAAATCTTAAATGTGCGTTGATCACTGTTAAAGCTGCTGAAGTTATTCAGTCAAGAGCAGTGAGGGAAATTCTCTGTCTTTTTTTTTTTGCACTTAATAACTCTCAAACATCAAGAATGTCCCAAGCTTTTTCTCATTCATGCATGTTTAATTATCTCTCTAACAATAGTCAATAGCATTAAACGTTCTTGTGTTATTTACATATTACACAATACAGCAAAGTCTCTGTGTATGTGTATATACACACAATTTATATTGTCGCCACAATATATATTATCCAACTCTAGTTCACCTACAAATTAAATTTGTCATCATTTTCTCATCATCATGTTGTTCCAAATCCATGTGACTTTCTTTCGGAGAAGAGAAAACATGTTTTGGAGAACGTTCCTGCTGGGCTTTTTCTGTTCTAAACGACAAATATAATCAGAGGCTGACAAACTTAAAAAAAAAAAGCCAGGAAAGTGCCATAAGAGTAATTCATATGACCAGTTTTTTGTCTTGAGAAGACTTGGAATATAGTACACTGGTCATATGGACATATGTATCTTTTGGTCACACTTTATTTTAAAGGTCCGATTCTCGCCATTAACTAACTATTAGCTATGACTTCTGCCTCAATTAACTCCTAATTACTGCTTATTAAAAGTTAGCAAGGTAGTTGTTAAGTTTAGGTATGGGGTAGGATTAAGGGATGTAGAATATGGTCATGAAGAACAAGGCATTGATACGTGCTTCATAAGTGCTGATAAAAAGCCAATATGCTAGTAATATGCATGCTAATAAGCAACTTGTTAATAGTGAGAATTGGACCCTAAACTAAAGTTTTGCAATGCTTTTTTGCTGTATTTAGAGCTTTATAGACCTTGGTACAATGAAACCTGTATGTTATTTATTGTACAGAAAAGAGCAGTGTAAACATTCTGTTAAACACTATTGTGTTTCATGGAAGAAAGCCAAACCAGTTTGGAATGATGACAGTATTTTCCTTTTTGAGTGAACTGTCCTATTATGTTACAAAGATTTCTAATGCAACTGAAGATTAGTAATCCCTTAATGCCTATTACTTAATGCCATATGTTGTTTCTTTGATTAGATTCTCCTCAAGGAGTTTGACAGCCGCACGCCTCAGTATGAGAAGTTGTCCGAGGCGGCCACAGCCATCGCTAGTGCGTCAGAGCAGCAGGATCCTGCCGTAGAGCAGGTTAAAGAACAGCTGGCATCTATTTCCCAGAAGTGGCAGGCCCTGACAGGTCAGCTGTCTCAGAGGCATGCTCTCATTGAGCAGGCTGTCGGTAAGACCACTCAATTCCAGGAGCTCTTGCAAAGCCTCAGTAAAAGTGCCACTTGCCTGGAGACTGAACTTAATAACCAGCAGGCCCTCAGCACCCAACCTGATGAAGTGAAGAAGCAGATTGAAGCCACTAATGCAATCCTGGCTCAGCTACGAGAGGAGAAGAAGAGGCTGAAGGAGGCAGAAAGTGTCTGCTCTGAGCTCTCTGCCATGGTGACTGAAGAGTATCTCAGAGCAGACTTGACAAAACAGCTAGAGGGCATCACTAAACCATTTAGACAACTTGAGGACAAAGCAGGTATTGTAGTTTACTTCAGATACTCTTGTCTTCTTTCTGCAACATCACAGAATATCTTGGTTATCTATTTGCACATTGCCGAAAGCTGTTCAGATGTCCTTAGAATTTGAATGCCCCTTTTTATATAAAGTCATATGCATCCTCTGACCTGTGTGTTCATTTATCAAGTATTTATCAAGTAGCAATCTAAATTTAATACAGTTTAATAAGATTAATTCAACTGATCCCCCCAAAATCAGTTTTAAAAATGCAAAAGGCAAAAACAAGCAGATTCCATCTGTGCCTCAAGTGTCAAATATTATCCAACTATGACAAGCAACTCTTTATTTCTGTTGCATAGGGTTTAGTGTCCCCACAGACTGCACATACTGTAGCTCTATAGCAAACATCAGCCATGTTCCAATTGGTTGTGATTTTTGCTTTCAGGCATAGCAGAAAGATTGCTTGGCGTTTGAGACTTGTCATGTGATGCCCTGCTCCGACACAGTATTACATAATTGTGACAACTATTGAGACTTCTTATCTAACATTCTTATATTTTACCTTGCGTCCACCAGGAAAGCGGATTGAGCAGCTCAACTCAGCCTTCGACAGCTCCCAGCAGTTCCATCAAACATCGAAGGACTTCCAAGCCTGGCTGAATCAAACTCTGCAGGAGCAGTGTAAGCCACAGCCCATCTCTGCTAATGCAGAGAAGTTAAAACAGAGTCTCAAGGAGAACAGTGCTATCCAAAAGGCCATTAGTGAGCATGAAGAACCTTATAACACCATCATTAAAGAGGGAGAAGCTCTGCTCCAGAGCACGGAGGGGGCAGAAAAGGTGGCCCTTCAGGGACAGCTCACTGCTCTAAAGTCCAGCTGGGACGATGTGAAGAAAAGTAATGCTGCGCAAGCAGAAAAGCTTCAGGGGGCCTTGCAGAGGGCACTGAAGTACAAGGAACATTCTGAGAAACTGAGCTCATGGTTGCAAGAGTGTGAAGACGGGGAGAAGAACGTGAAGCTCAGTGCGAACTCAGTGGAGATCGAGGGCTCCCTCTCACAGTTGAAGGCCATCCAGAAAGACGTTGACAAGCACAGAGGGCAAGTTGCGATGGCGAACACAGCTGCCGACAGCCTCCTGGAGGTAGTCACTTCAGATGGCGATTCGGTTAGGGAGGAGAAGGCAACCATTGGTAAAAGAGTGGATAAGCTGACAGAAGATTTAACACTCAAAAGAGAATCGTTAGAAAATATCTCACAGAAGCTGAAAGAGTTCAACGACTTACAGAAGGAAGCCAAAGGGCAGCTGGAGGCTGCCAGGAAACAGCTCGATTCTCACTCGGCTTTGGGTGTCCAGGCCTACAGCAACAAGAACCTGACCAACATGAAGGCTCAGCACAACAGCTTAGAGGGTGTCCACAACCAGATTGAGCATCTCAAAAATCTGGCAAAAAGTCTTGTGGTAGATGCCTCTGAGGTGGAAGGTGTGACAGACCTTCTTCTTCAGGCAGACAGCTTGGAAAAAGACCACATGTCAATTACTAAAAAGGTAGAGGATGCCTGCTCCACCTTGGAGAACAAACTCCAGGGCATTGGACAATTCCAGAACAGCATTCGTGAAATGTTTGCGAACTTCACAGACCTGGACGATGAGTTCGATGGTATGGCTCCAGTAGGCAGGGGTCTTGACACCTTATGGGATCAGCAAAGCACTATCAAAGACTTTGTTGCTAGACTTCAGGATCTGATGACCAACACGGCCAATGGCAGAGACAGTTGCAAGAAGATGCTGGAGTCAGAGGCCTCACCAGATCTCTTGGGTCTGAAGAGAGACTTGGAAACCCTGGGCAAGCAGTGTGGAAAGCTGATGGACCGAGCCATGGGTAGAAGAGAACAGGTTGAGGAGACCCTCAGTCATCTGGAAGAGTTCTACGTCAAGGCGCAAGAGTTTACCCACAAACTGAGCAGTGCCGAAAAACAAGAGGAGTCCCAAGGGTCTGTTGGATTGGAAACAGAAGTCATTAACCAACAACTGGAGACCTTCAAGGTAAAAATTAAGATTCATTGCATGTCTCACCTTGTTCTGTTCCCCTTCTAGAAGATCCATAGCAGTCACTGACATTTTTAAAGGATTGATATATTGTGATTTATGTTGATTTTGATCTGTTAGCCACGTGTTAGACCTTCTCTAGACAGTTCAGTATGTCCGTGAGCATCTGGTGCTAACAAAATAGCGTCAGCTGATGGGGCATTGTTGCGAATGTGCGGTGAGGCAGCTGGGAGCCAGTGGGGTGCCGTGTATCGTAGCGGCCCAGTGAAAGGTAGTGGGGTCGGACTTCTGCTCCTTGCCCTGTTAGCTATGCTAGAGCAGGCCTCTCCATTCAACTGCAAACAATAGGTGCTAATTCCATTTTTTTTTTCTGAATTTGGACCTGCTATATGTAAAGATTCAATTCTTGTGCAAAACATTAGAAAACTGATTATGCTATATTAACAAATCTGTTCAGCCTTTTTATTTTAGAGCGTGTGGTTGCATGCACTGCATATTTATGATGTTTCTAGTAGAATCTTTAAATGAATGTTCTGGGTTTAATAAAACATGCTTGTTTAATACAGTCATGCATCTTAGTTACCACAGTTCAGTTTTTGATAAAAAAAAAAAAACTGTTGACAGTTATACACTCACAGCAGAAGTGTATATTGCACAACAATTTCTGGTTGCCTCACTGTATTGGTTTTTGTTTTGACTAGGGGTACAATGGTTCTCGGTAATAAATCGAACCATACGGTTCTCCACACACGGTCCGGCATACACTAGGACCGCGGTTCAACTTAAATCTGACAATGCACCTGTAATATGGTTTGTTAGAGTTCGGCTAATGCTTGTTTCTGTTGATGGATACAAATTCTGGTTTCCCAATACATTACAACAAGAGCGATGAGAAAGAAAAAAACAATACATGGACAAACCAGTCACTCTTTGTTCAGTGCGAGTGCTGTATGTTGGAATAACTGTCATTTATGCCGTCATCACGTGTTGATAGCGCAGGTGAGACCTGAACAGCACACGTTGCTATCTGTGTTTAAACTAAACTCATTTAAGTTAAGCCTTGCCAGTTTAAATATTAAAGAGCCAGAGGACGCGAAAACGCACGCGCAGTGAGATCTGTGTGTGTGCTCATCCGAAGTGCGTGAACCCGCGTCTCAGAACGCGTGCAAATATTAAGCTCTCTGTGAAGTATTGTGTTTGAATGGACAAATTCACTCCAGAATTATGTCAAAATGCCCGTCTTGGTGAGTACCCTAGCAGACATAGCCGACTGAACGTATAGTATCAGTGCACTGGATCAGTGTGTTCTCTTAAAGTGACAGCACTTTCTTAATATTAATCAAACAGCAACAACATGGAAATCACTCACTGCTCTTGATTGAATAACTTTTGTAACTTTAATAAGGATTAATATTTCATTTATACAGTCAAATATGCAATGTTATTTTACATTTGATTTATTCAATTTCTGTACCTAAAAACTATGTTAGACCTACCTAAAAAACCTGAAAAGCACTGTTTATTTTATTTGTATATTTTTTCACTGTTTATTTATTTGTGCTGTTTTTTGTAGTTAGATTATTTGTTCTAATTTTCTCTATTTTTATTTGACAATATAGTTTTTTCCCTAAACATAGCATATAGCGAACGACTGAACGTATAGTATCAGTGCACTGGATCAGTGTGTTCTCTTAAAGTGACAGCACTTTCTTAATATTAATCAAACAGCAACAACATGGAAATCACTCACTGCTCTTGATTGAATAACTTTTGTAACTTTAATAAGGATTAATATTTCATTTATACAGTCAAATATGCAATGTTATTTTACATTTGATTTATTCAATTTCTGTACCTAAAAACTATGTTAGACCTACCTAAAAAACCTGAAAAGCACTGTTTATTTTATTTGTATATTTTTTCACTGTTTATTTATTTGTGCTGTTTTTTGTAGTTAGATTATTTGTTTTAATTTTCTCTATTTTTATTTGACAATATAGTTTTTTCCCTAAACATAGCATATAGCGAACCGTACCGAAACCGTGACCCTAAAACCGTGATACAAACCGAAGTTGAACCGTTGCACCCCTAGTTTTGACAAACTGAGAGGCAATTTGAAATGATATTCTGCACCACAGATGCAAACGATAAAGATTGACTATTAAATAACCAGCAATATTTTTAGAGAAGTTGACCTCATCTCTCAAAAATTACATCTTTGTCTTGGTCAGTTTGGATTCTGGACCTTTTTTTACTCAATATTTCAAATGGTACATCATTTGTACATCATCATAACTTATTCCCCCAAATACCGGAGCAAAGTGTTCTTTCTTTTCTTTTGTTATGGCAACGCAGTGTGTTTCTTATCATAAACAAAAGACCTGGAGTAGATTTCTCTGTTCTTGTTATAGTCTAATTACTACTAAAGGAAATCAAAGCAAATATTAGAATAGATAATATTGTAGTTTTATTTCAACGGTGATAGAAAACCTGCTGAAGACAACGATGTGATATTTACAATATCAGTCCTGGTTAATACCATTGTCAAGACTTAAAGTGGAAAAAAACATCATTCAGAAAGCTTTACCTATGTTCAGACATGCATATGAATCAAACATGGACATCCGTGCGCTGTGATAAAGCATCAGCTGCCGCTGTTCGGTCAATCATGTGGCCCCTTGTTGTTTGGGCTCCCCCGTTCTTTTTGTTCTTTTCAATGTCTGGATGGATGATCACTGCTACATCAGCTGCTGCTGGAAAATCAGCTTTGCTCTCCTTGATACGGCCATTAAACTCAAACACAAAGACAGGCATAGATTTTCAGAATCAAATCTGATTCTGTCATTTAAGAATATACGTGTGAAGTAGCTTGTTTATCCTTATCTTTTTTTCTTCAATTCAGTGGGTTCATTTGTGAATAAGCCTAATACATAAGGACTTAAGATGTTTGTCGGAAATCAACCCACAACACCCTGACATTGTGACGGTGAGGTTTACACTTGCAGGAGATGTTTGGAAATTAAAGAGTCTATTTTTCCACTACTTAGACATGACATTAATGTCTCCTGTGAACCTGTGGGAATTTCTGGCTCTTGAATCATAGCTATTTGTAATTCCAAAGGTGATGATGGGAAAAGGGTCTTTGTGAGTCCCCAGTGTTGAGCTGACTCATCAGCCTGACTCACTGTACAAACGCCCGAGAGGCAACCTGAAACCCTCCACCAGCACAGCACTAGAACTTGTGCACATTGTTGCATTATGATGAAGTTGTTATTTCACTGCTATCATGTTGCCTGGGACATTGACAAAGAGAGAGAGAGATAACGTTTTTGGCTCAATGGATCCCAGTGCCGGAGGAATTTACTCTGAGATTTTTTTTTTTTCAACGAAACCTTTGTTCTCATCTAAATAATAGTTCTGCGTTTCAGTGCCTGTGGGTATTGTTCGTGTGAATGGTGAGAGATTTTGTTGACAGAGATTTTTTTTGGATGGGGAACATCCCTGCCCTGTTTCTGTGCACAGGCAGGCATTGTTTCCCATCATGTCTGGTTTTAATTGAATGGTTTCATGCATTTAACATCAGGTCAGATAATTTGTTCATCCACATTTAAAAGGCTGGCTTGCACGTTTTTGCCATGTGCAAATGGTTGGTCAAAACTCCTAAGGGCCACAGACTTCTGTGCAAATTGTTTGTAAAGTCATGCTTACGTAAATTGTCACTTTTTACATAAGAATGGATTTATAAACTAATTGAACAGAAATTCTGCTCGTTTTTATAAATAAAGCCACAAAATCAAGCAGCTGTAAAGCACAGCAAATGGTCAAGTTCATCCAAATAAATGGCGTCAGAAAGATAAATCCTTTTTATTTGCTTCATGAGGCGTCTATGTGGCGTCAACAGCAGTAAACACATCTCAGAGACATTAGAGACTTGGACCTTGGAACTATAAAAACAAATGTTCTGCCTTTCTTAATTCTCGGCCTGGATTATTTCAAAACACCCCACACATATCTTTAACCTCTTCACCTCTTCCAGCTTCCTGATTTCCTCTTTTTTCTAACACAAAAAGTTTGTGTACTGATTCCCAGAAACCTACACACTGTTCACTACTCCCTACACTCTCGGCAGCAATGCTGAAATGTCACAGAAGATGACACATGGATCACCTAGATTAGGGGTTTCACATATGATAGTATCACATAAATATGTCCTGATAAATAAATTTAAATATATAAATTTCAATGTAATTATTTTATTTTGTGTGAATATATCAAAAACCCACCAATTCACAATCTCAACAAATTAGAATACTTCATTACACCAATAAAAAAAAAAAAACTTTTTAGTGTATTGTTGGCCTTCTGGATTTCTCATTTTCCTCTTGATAATACTCCATAGATTCTCTATGGGGTTCAGGTCTGGTGAGTTTGCTGGCCAGTCAAGCACACCAACACCATGGTCATTTAACCAACTTTTGGTGCTTTTGGCCAAATCCTGCTGGAAAATGAAATCAGCATCTTCAAAAAGCTGGTCAGCAGAAGGAAGCATGAAGTGCTCCAAAATTTCTTGGTAAACGGGTGCAGTGACGTTGGTTTTCAAAAAACATAATGGACCAACACCAGCAGATGACATTGCACCCCAAATCATCACAGACTGTGGAAACTTAACACTGGACTTCAAGCAATTTGGGCTATGAGCTTCTTCACCCTTCCTCCAGACTCTAGGACCTTGGTTTCCAAATGAAATACAAAACTTGCTCTCATCTGAAAAGAGGACTTTGGACCACTGAGCAACAGTC